AATTATAGGAACACATAATGTTATATTTTTCCAGTGGAAGCAATTCTGCAGAATATTTCTTCCATTTTTAATATTTTAAAGGAAGTTCTTTTTTTTATGACAATTAGACATCTAAACAATAAGTAATGTTCGTCAGATATTCCATAACATACAATTACGGTGACTATTGGTGTGTTCTCTTTTCCTTTGAATCTGTCAAGATTATTGCTTTTCCCTATGTAATGTCTTTCAAATTTTGGCAGATTACATGAAATTTAAGTTATATTTTTATCTTTTTTATGTTAAATGACCAATTAATCAACCGCTAGTGAAGATTTCAGATAAACGTAACCACATGGCAAAATATGTAACAACTTTGGTGAAGTATGGTAAAACACATTTATAGACACATCAACACTTATCAAAATTATTTATCTAATATGATCAGTTTTAATGCAAATAGATGCATATTTCAGTAAATAACTTATATAAAGTGATGGAAATTTTCCAAATATAGAAAGGTTTGACCTTGTTTTATTTCTAGGATTGTCTAGAATTAGTATACTTTCTAAAATCTATTAGGTAGGTAAAAATACAGTTGCCTTCACATACAAATTTATCAGGTTATCATAAATCAGTACGTTTATATAAGTTGAAACTGTTTTACACTAACATTTTTTTGTTTGAATTCATCATTTTTTCTCGAAACAACCTTTTAATTATACGCTGTTTCCTTGGTTATGCAGCAAAAAGACAAAATAACGATGTTTCCGGTACGAAGCTACTGTGAAAAAGAAAGCCAAGGCTATTTATGCATGAACTTGCGTAACCAGAATATGATCAACAGATGTAAAACATGTTTAAAAAAGATCAATCGGTTCTTAGTATGACGTCATAATTAATTAATCAGAAATTATGTAATAAATTTTCACAAATATCTGTTATAATTATGCTATAATTCAACAAATTTTTCGTTTCTAAACAACAAAAATGTACTAATGTATGTAATTTAAAAGCATTTTGATATCGGTAAATCAGAAATAAAATCTTGTGCTCTTCCCTAAGATAAGGTTTTAATGTTATTAAAGCTGAAACAAATTCTATTATGTTAAGGGCCATGCAATAATATATCAGGCTAGAGTGAACTAAAGAGACCATTCCTTCAAAGCATTCTTATATTAACTGCAGTATATACAATACTGTTGAACACTTCTCTAATGATCAATTAAGCTGAGTCTTTTTTTAATGTACAGTATGCTGTACTTATCATAACAAAATAAGAATGGTTTCAGAATAAATTGTTTTATAAAGTGAGTTTCAGTAAAAATCTACAATGAATTGTGCTTTCCTGTTAAATTCAGAGACATTTTTAATTTTGTGCACCTCAATTTTCGTTTGACTTTATATGTGCACCTCAATTTTCGTTTGACTTTCTATTTATGTTTTCTTTATCATTCTGAATAAACTTTTTGTTTTGATGGAAGATGAACTATTTGGCTTAAATTTCCGCACTTCAAACTCTTTTCCATTGAACAAGTCCACTTCAGATGTTATTTGTTGAGTGATTGTTAACTTTCATAGACCAATATTTCAGTATGTGTACGAGTACACTTTAACAGTGTATCGGTTGTTAACAAGCGATAAACAATTATGTTGACTATCATTTCTTTATAATAACAATAACGGTACCAATTTTACTGCACCAGATGCGTACTTCAACAATAAATGTCTCTTTGAACAGTGATGCCCATGGCCTACATAGTTGAAAATCAAAAACCCAATATAAACGTTGAAGAGCTGATGAAAGCAAAAAGGGCAAAGTATAAAGTCAAACCTGCACAACGAATTAGAGCTATGCATAAGGGAAATACATTCCTTAAATTAAAATGATTTCGAATTTTTTTATCAGCAAATCTGAATAAAACAATATCCATATTTCGTTGCCAGTACTGGCTATTGGGGTAATGATACCATGGTGACTATTAGTTGACAAACCATTGATAGAGCTGGTAACATAGATAATAACCAAAGATACCAAGATTATAATTTGTTGCACCAAACTTCTGTGTCATCTAGATAGTTTTATCAACGGCGAATTAAAACTGACATAAGGCCACTTGTAAAGACATTAAAAATTTATTGTTTGCTAATTGTTGACCAAAACCAATTGACACAGTAATATGTCATCAATTTTTGCTTTACGTTGACTTGGGAAATAGTAAGGGGAACGGTCATTTCTAGAATAAAACAAAACTATATAAATTTGATGCGTCAGAAGGAAGCAGTTTTCTGATGAAAGTCAAAGATGCACAAGTACTAACATACTAGAGGAGCTTAATGAAACAAGAATGTGTACATAGTACACGGATACCCCACACGCACTATCATTTTCTATGTTCAGTGGACTGTGAAATTGGGGTCAAAACTATAATTTGGCATTAAAATTAGAAAGATCATATCATGAGGAATACGTATACTAAGTTTCAAGTTGATTGGACTTCAACGTCATCAAAAACTACCTTGACCAAAAACTTTAACCTGAAGCGGAACAGACGGACGGACGGACAAACGAATGGACGCACAGACCAGAAAACATAATGCCCCTACTACTATCGTAGGTAGGGCATAAAAACGGGACATACATCATCTAAGATCAACTTCCCTGAGGGAGTTAACAACCTTAGTTTCGAAATAATTTCAAAATTCAACAACGGAGAATTAAAGTTTGTTTTTAAAAGGCATGTTTTTGATCGTCAGTACCGAACCACGAACTATTAGGCTGATGATACCCTCGTGCTTGAGGGCTTGCAGTCCACTGAATTGTCAATCAAATCGCATGATCTTTATCAAGAATAACAACATTAATTCGATGTTTTGTGTGTAATCCAAAACTTCTCAGATGATAAATGTTATATACTATTTATTGACTTATGCTTAGCTTACAATAAACAAAATAAGTCATACTGGTAATAATACTTGTAAAGCATATAAACAAACTCCTCATGTTAATGTTTCGTTAAGCACTGTCAAGAAATATTGTTTACGTTACATTTTTGCTGTTGTTTTTTTCCCTTTTAGAATGTAGCAACATTTCGTTATGTGCATGTTGAAACATATGCAGTCAGTTATGTTTTTTTGGGCTTGGTATTCACAATGAGTATTATTTTTTTTCTCCTCAAAATTATTATGCAGTCAAACCGAATTATTTGCATTAGTCACACATTATTGCTGCAAAGTTATATAAGATAACATTTAATTTGTCCATGGTTGTCTTTATAGTTGTATTGTTTTTCACGGTCATGGTCAGGCAAACTATGACAGTATTCGTTAGATTTCTTTGCCTAATTTATTTTATGATGTACATCTAACTAAGAATTATCTCAAATCAAGGGCAATTTTGAACATGCAGAGCAGTGTGACCAGTACTCCATGTTAAAATCCTCAAAATATAGTTTAATGAGATGAAGAGAAGCATTAAACACGCTGTTCCTTTTCTTTTGGAATTAACTATAGCGTGTTAGCATTTAGTCATGAAGTTTTACACCATATATTATTTTCGTTTCCACTAATTCCAACACTTTTAAAGCGTTTATTTATTCCATTAAAACTATAATGATGTCTTAAATAAGACTTCTCACCTATGTTTAGGAAGCCACAATATAAATATGATTAGTATTTTGTTTTAAGGGCATATCATACAAAAAAAAGTTCGTCTTTCATCATTGCTTTTTGTTTTTGTGGAAAATAACGCACATGCAATACTATTAGTTTCCAAGGCAATACATTATAAAGTTTTGCTTTGATGTTAAAATGTTGTTTAGTTAGGAAGCTGTTAAATGCATCCGCAGTCACTGTTATATCTCAATACCTGCCCTTGTCTGAATTTAATTATAAAGTCGGTAACAGACTGTTGTGTAATAGTCTCGTCTCTTGAAACATTGTCATCTTAAACACATTTATGAAAGACATTGATGCATGTTACGGCGCTTTGAGATCTGTCCGGATTTCCTGCTATCAACCCCAGTTTGAGTGGGAATCCTTAATGTTAAAAGATTTATTAGGGTCTTTTGCTCTGTGTTTGTATGCCTTTATTTTATTGGTCCGTTCACCTTTGTCGTAGCTTTTATAGATATAAGAAGATGTGGTATGAGTGCCAATGAGACAACTCTCCATCCAAGTCAAAATTTATAAAAGTAAACCATTATAGGTCAAAGTACGGTCTTCAACACGGAGCCTTGGCTCACACCGAACAGTAAGCTATAAAGGGCACCAAAAATTACTAGCGTAAAACCATTCAAACGGGAAGTTTGTTTCGTTAGAGTATTGTCCATTTGATATCTTTTGTTTATTCCCGCGTCAACACAGATGGTTCAGTACATCCCAACTCAAATACGACTTTGAAGAGCATCGAAAACTAAAATAAATAGATAAGTTGTGCAGTATACAACTAGGGCATCTATACCTGGGATTAGAACATCTTATTGTTTCGAATATTGTGGATTCATTTATTTTCGTGGGTATCAATTTTCGTGGATTGTGGAAAACTTGCATTTTAGTGGATATTTGATTTCGTGGTTATGCCGATCTCTGCATACAAAGCCTATAGAAAATTTGTAAATTTTTGAACATTTGAATTCATGGTTCAAATGTACCAACGAAATCCACGAAAATTGGTATCCAACGAATAATTATGAATCCACAGTAATTTAAAATTTTGTTAACAAAAATGTACAGAGATTTTCGACAGATCATTGATATTTCATGTCAAACTCAGAAGTGCTGTCTATTGAGCTGGTAATTTACTTGAGGAAAGAAACGCCCACTAGCAGTGCCATCGACTCGGTGGTTGTTAAAACTCATCAAAGTAATTTGTTACGCTAGACACCTCTGAGCACCGTTTATATCTAAAATTAGACAGAGAAGAATTCACACCTAACTTTTAAAGTAATTTTCCATTGAAGAACAGATAAAAAAGTTGTTCAAAATTCAAATATTGATATGTTCTTATTTTTGTATTTCAGGAAGTCCATTTTCATGCGTTGTCGACGAAATTGGCGGTGCATACGTCACCGCCTTTGGTGCTGGTCTCGTTGGTGGCATGAGTGGACAAATGCAAAGTTTTACAATCACAGCAAAAAAAGGAACACTTGGTACGCATTTGGTAAAACATTTCGACTATAATGATAAATTACCTGTATATTTGTCTTTTTTACAAACCGGAGGGATGAAGATGTAAAAAAAGACCCAAAGTTGTTATTTGGACATACTCACATACTTTAAACTAAAAATGGTCCAAAGTTTATTCGTTTATTATTTCATATCCATACGCTTTGGTTGAAATTGAATTTATTCTTAAAGTGAAAATAAGCTATATTGACCTTACTTAAAAAAAATAATGACTGTATGATAAAGTTTTTATTTATGTTTGTAGGGGACATAGACATCCAAATTGATGGACCAACAAAAACTGATTATAAGCGACAAGACCGTGGGGATCGATGTGACGTCACTTTTATGCCAATGACACCAGGGGCATACAATATTAACATTAAATATAAAAGCAAAGTAATTAAGGGATCGCCCTTTGTATCCAAAGTTTCAGGTAAGTAAAGTCGTTTATCATGTGCCTCTTTGTGTTCATTCTGCTATGCATATCTCGCTCTGTATTTCTAGTGTACACTAATTATCAATTTAAACTTTTTTTGAAGTGGATTGCTTTTTCTCAGGTGTTGTTGATCAAATTTAATTATGACGTAAATATTTCCATTATTGTCACAAAAAGGCGACCATGCCTTATGACATCTGACCGAAAGAACCCACGCTTTTTTTCCAGATAGATGAAAGAACTTTAGATCGACGTCATTTGGACTCTGTTGCATAGTTCTCTCATTGCAATCATACAACATCTCTTTATTCATAATTAATCTGATTTAGTCTTCATATCGTCTACATCTTTTTGTGTTTTAATATTTGAAAACGTTATCGTCTTAAGTGAAAATGGCGTATCTAACTCGATGCTGCAGTAGAGTCTATATTTACCTAGATCACTTTTATACCGAATTCGTATAAGCATTTTATCATGCAAGCACGATATATATATGTCAGATATTTCTTAATATTATATTGACTGAATCTTCTGATATTTATAAATTGTATTATCAAAACAAAACGATGTTATAAAATGTTAAGAAATAAACAGTATGCTATATTACATCTACGAAAAACAGTCAGCTAAAATAAATTATTTTTTAACCTTCAGTACTATTTATGATCCTCGACGATATCGTATCTCTAAGAACACCATGATCAGAGAGGTATTGACTGACACTTTAAAAAGATAAATTATTGATAAATAATCAGATTTTTCCTGACATGTAAACATAACGTTTTACAGATGCCATATGTCTCAATGATTGGATGAAATGATATATTAAGAAAGAGTACAATTTATATGAACCTCGATTCACATTGCTAGAATAACTTTCCTTTTATATTGTTACAGGTTTTGAACACTTTGATGCAATATTATGCGTGCATTTTCTTATCAATATATCAACCAATGTTTTTAACAACAAGTGCTTATAGCGTAACTCAGCAGCACACTAAGCGCATATTTCTTTTATGGTTAACTGTTATGAATTGGCACTATACTCCAGGGTCAATATAAAAAAAGGAAGATGTGGTATGATTGTCAATGAGACAACTCTCCACAAGAGACAAAATGACACAGAAATTAACAGCTTTAGGTCACCGTACGGCCTTCAACTATGAGCAGAGCCCATACCACATAGTCAGCTATAAAAAGCCCCGAAATCACAAATGTAAAACAATTCAAATGAGAAAACTAACGGCCTAATTAATGTACAAAAAAATTAACGACAAACAAATATGTAACACAGCAACAAACGGACAACCACCGAATTACAGGCTCCTGACTTGGGGCAGGCACATACATACAGAATGTGGCGGGGTTAAACATGTTAGCGGGATCCCAACCCTCCTCATAAACTGGGACAGTGGTGTAACAGTACAACATAAGAGCGAAATATAAAAATCAGTTGAAAAAGGCTTAACTCACCACATGTATACAAATAGAAATACATTTAACAAAAACACGTGGACGTGACCGGGTACTTGTACATCCCAACAACAAAAAGACACTAAGTACAGATCTGAGAGTACTCGCAGTTACTGACAGCTAGTTCAAAGCCAATAACAATTAATATAAAAAAAAATCATGCATCTAAGACTAAATTATCAATCAGTACACATCCAGCATCCAATGGATTTAGTGTAAAGACGTCATAAACAGTCAAGAGAAAAACATGACCTCAAGCATTTTTCTAAGAAGTACAGATACCAACCAGTTTATGCTTTATCAGTTTTTTGTTTGCCTATTCATTGAATTTACTAATCAATGGCTTAACTTTACTGTTCATTATTTTTCCTTACGGTTTGTTATTTCGAAGAATTTTGTTATAGCACAATTTAGTTGTTTAATTTGGCAATTTTATTATCAACTATTTCCAAAGATTTCATGTCAATATTTCCCCACTCATGTCTTATGCCGTTGTTGTTACCCTTTATCATTTGTTTCTGTTTGTTCCACATGTTTCTCTTATGCTTTCTATTCCTGATTTCTTTTGCCAATGTATTAGCAAATAACCATATCAACAAATATAACTCTGTTCTTATTAGACATTTTCGAAAAGTCGTCTACACGGACACTTACACCGACACCGATACCTACAATGACTACAAAAATATAGGGACCGTATCAAAATGTCGAAACATATTGAATGAATGACCTCGTAAAACTTGGTTGCAGGTATAAAAAAAAATACTTTCTGTCTTTTTTCTTATATAACGTTTATTCGGAATCTGCGCTAGAAACACCGAATGCTTTAATTAGTTTTGGATTATTTTAAGTATGAATTAATATGTAATATTCCATTCATTTCTTTTCAATCTTTCAAACGGAATACCGTGAGTGTTGCGGTAGAATATACAATTGGCGAATTGAATTGCCAGAAAGCATTCGGAATATAGATAAAGTATCGTAATAATGTCTGATGAAGCAAGCATATATCAAATCAATGTAAATCAACAGGTCTTAGGATTTGTAATGGACGTTTCGGTGACGCAAGTATAAAACAAAAATGGTTGTAGTGTAAAATTCCACCAAAAATAAAATGCAAAAAGTAAAAAAAAAAAATAACTGTAACAAATAAAAACGAATTGCAAAAAATAATAAAACAATTACAAAATTACAAAAACAAAATAAAACAAAAACTTTTTTTTGCCGAAATTCCCCAAAATACAATGTCCCAAAACTAAACAAAAATTAAATTTTGACCCCTCCCCCCTTTTACAAAAAAAAATATATGTTTATTAAAGTTATATTTGACAACGCACAGCAACACCAGTGTTGAATTCATGTGAAGTGGAAGTTCTTCATAAGAATATTTCAATTTTATACCCAGGTATAAAAATTAGTAAAGGAAAGTTAATAAATTCGTTTTCCTAGTGTTATCAGGGGTGTGCGGAATTTTTCAATGCATTTTCGACACCGGTGTAAATTCCGTACACCCCTGATTACACTCATATAACACATACTATCATCTATATATTTATACATTCAGTTTCACGCTGTAAAAGATTTATACGTTCCTATTTCTGATTAGAGTTTTACTAATTTACGCAAACATTTTTTTTTTACAAAGTACAGGTCAATTCTCAGCAACTAAACAGAGCTAATAAAGTAGCAGATCATTCAAAATAAAGTTTTATACAGTATTTAGAATGTAAACTAGAAAAAAAATATAATATAAATTAGTGTGATCGTTGTACATATTGAGATGACCCCTTCTCAAAAAGGTTACCTGTAGGCATAGGTGAAGGTGTAAGCGTCGGTATCGAATAGTTTTCGAAAATGTCTATTGATTAGTATTCAAACCATCAAACCATTTCCTATTATTTTATATTGTATCGATCCTTTTGTTTTCCATCAGTTTGCACAGGTGGTCTTTATCATAATGGTGTACTTCTAAAACCCGGTGAGTTATACTAACACCCACTAAGATCAGGCTGGATGCAAAAATCAGTTTTCCAATTTATCTTCTTCTCCATCTACTACAGTGGCTTAGATATGAAGTATCTGATACCGAGAATGGATAACTTGAAAATTTGAAGTATTTAAAAAAAATATTTTCGTATTTTATATACTATTCAGGTGTTATTACCTATTGGAATGGTTTAATAGAGCTTTCTATCTTAACAAAATTTTTACAATTTATCATTGCGAGCGCACTGAATGTGTCTTGTGGTTAGGTCGTATATACCAAGTTAATCTTTTGGCCTTTGAGACTTTTTTTTCAAAAATACGTGGAATAGAGTGATATTTGCATGTTCATTTTTTTTTTCTGAATTAACAAATAATTAATAAGCATACCTTTTCTGGAGATATTTCAGGTTTTTCATGTTTCAAACATGTTAAGGTGGTACCTAACACTACAGGGAGATAACTCTGTAAAAATCAGCTAAACGTTTTAATTACGTTGTATTGTTAAGGAAATATTAAGCTTCTCAATGATCAAAATTAGTGTTTGTCAAACTGCTATATAACCAATGAAATTTTTCTGATAAAGTGGTTGGTTCAAATTTTTTGAAATTTTTATATTTTTGTCAAAGGGTCAAAGTAAACATTTTGTCAAATTTTAATGAAAATTAAACGAGCCAAATCAATATTAGTCAAAGTGTTGGGTACCACCTTAAATACAAAGAGTTTAGGTTAATTCTTTATATCAGACAATTTATTTTCAGATATGATAATGTTTTCATTTTTTCATATACTAGTTTAGTCTTTAAATAGTGGTAAGAACTGTAGTTTATGGTCCACATATATTTGTTTCAAGGGTTTGCATACTTTGCATAGCGTTAATGGTTTTATCAATCTGACAAGGCACAACTTGTTATCCAGCCTCTGATAGAATAACCATAACTTATAATACTTACTACTATATCATTATTCTTCGACCATAACACTATTAATCCAATATAGTTTATATACTCATATAAATATATTATATTTTTTTATAAATATTGTCTATTCTATCATTTTTTTGTCCGTTTGTGTTCTACAAATAACCAAAAATAAATTATCATAAATCAGAACAGCGTCGTTTTGTAATAGTATCTTTGTTAGACTATACACGAATTCTGACAGTTAATTTCTGAGTTTTGGCTGAAGTTGTTATTCATTCGGTCTACCATGAACTTTATTTACAAGGCAACTAATCAGTAATAGTTTAAGGGAACTTGAAATATTTATCTATACAGAACGAATTGCGAAATATTATTTACAATGATAGGGGATGTATCTTTTTGATAATTATAGATAAAAAAAGACATAATTGGAAAAATTGTCAGAGATCGGATTGATAAAAAGTGATATAACTTTAGCTATTTGTATGAAATTTTGATTTTTAATGCTTAATTCTAATAGATTTATCGAACTCAAATGGACTTAATTCTGTATATGCAAATATTTACATTTTATTTTCTATATATTATATAGATATATATGTAATTATATTTGCATGTCGATTTCTTAACTGTGTTTGGTAGCACAGGTTTTTATTTAATTCTCTTAACATACAATTTTTAGAATGATAATTAGCGGCGTGGTTTTTAATCTGTTTTAATGTTAATATCGAATTTTGAATGCATAGAATCAAATCTAAATGAATAAAGTAGAGAAAACACGGCCAATTTTCCTTTTTAATTTCTTGGTAAGGCAAGTCAACATAGTGCATTTGTAAACATGTATTCTGATCTGATGTTCTATTTTCGCTTTCAGGTATATTTCATGTAATAATACTCAACAACACATAACCATCAGAAATTTCTTTGTGCAAAATCTTACCGGTACATAATCATTTCTGTTTAAATGGTTTTACACTGATTATTTTTGGGACCCTTTATAGCTTGCTGTTCGGTGTGAGCCAAGGCTCCGTGTTGAAGGCCGTACTTTGACCTATAATGGTTTACTTTTACAAATTGTGACTTGATGGAGAGTTGTCTCATTTGCACTCATACCACATCTTCTTATATCTATGACGTCGTTAAATGTAAAAAAATTCTGGCGATTTCTCTTGTATTTTTCTCATATAACAATAGAAAAATATTGTTTTCCGTACTTTATCTTTGATTTTAAGATCAGTAGGGTTATATTTTTGACGTTTTTTCCTTACTCGCCGCAAAATGTACACGAAGGCATGAAATGTACATATCAAAGTCTCTTATAAACCACAGCCTGGTCATATTTCTTACTGTATACGTATTTAACAGTTAAAGCCCTAGCAAAGTAAATTTATAATTTTCTTGGATTTTTTTATAGGTGAAGGCCGTAAGAGATCACAAATTTCCTTAGGAAATGCTAGTGAATATGCATTGAATGTCATGGAACCAGATATAGTCGATCTAGTAGGGTCAATTAAAGGTCCAAAGGGAGGTTTCGAACCTTGTATCCTGAAGAAATCTAAAGATGGACATTTATGTGAGTATAATGAGCTTGGCAGATAACCATCTTCAGAATGTAATTCTAAATCTTCATACACATATGCCCTAGTTGAATTTAAACAGTTTGCTCAAAGTAAGTTTTATTTCATTATAAATTTAGTAAATTTAATAGTACATTCACACGTAACGACAGTTGGAAATATACGTCCGTATACTAGTGCCTTGTTTACTATATAATGCAAATCATCTATCTAGTGGAAAAGCATTTTATGCTTCTTGTTTTTCCCATTTTTGTAATTCTTGTACATTTATCAGGTTTATTTTATATGGACCATCATCCTCTTCTGTATTTCAAATAATTCTCGTTTTTCTTTACTTATGAGTTTGTCATTTTGGTTTTGTCAGGTATATCGTCGTTTTCTCCAAAAGAAGCTGGTGATTATCGTGTCCAGGTCTATAGAGATGAGAAAAACATAAAAGGAAGTCCATTTGCAGTGACGGTAAACGATAATGAACTCGCTCATGCAAGCAAGGTCAAGATCAGCGGGGCAACAGAAAAGGCGATAGCAAACGAGTCAAATGTTTTAAACATCGATGTGTCAGAAGCAGGCAAGTATACATGTTTAGAAAAACATAATTATAGATAACCAAAATAAAAAATAAAACTAGGTGGAGTAGAATTTGTACTTTTCGATCTCATTATTTTTGTTGTTAAACACGGCGAGCTTGATGATATTTCATTCTTGTTTGTAAAGATGGGAATACCGATTTCTTAAATTTTTTGACAATCCAATGTTTAAAACTATTCATTACGTCAAATATAATCTTATATCATTACTATGTTTGTTATATCAAATACCATATTTGACTTGAATAATTTTGTATTTTGTGCATTATCAAAATAACTGACCAAACTTTCGGACAACTTTTACAAAGAAAAAGCATTCGTACAAAAATCTGTATGGTATGAAATAATCTATTTTTAGATTGGGTCCATTACCTAATTTTGTCAATACAATACAGTATTTTTGTTATACCTTTTTTTAGGATATGGAGGAATCACTGTAGTGATTGAAGGTCCTCACAGATCAGAAATTGATTACGAAGAAACCGGAAACCGCACTTTCAAGTGCACTTACAGTCCACATGAACCAGGAATATACATCCTTAACGTTAGATTTGCTGATGAACACATCAAAGGTATACAGATGGAAGCTTAAGAAAGTTAAAAATATGTATTTACCTTGTCATAATTATCTTCAAACATATTTGAAACATGAATACTTATGATTTCAGTATTATTTTTTTATTTCGAAACTTCAAAGTTATGGATTTTACTGATATTTGTTTTAATTTAGACTTCAAGTCAGCATACAATATTTACCGTCGGGGACCAATTACCGTCACCTGTCATTTTATGCCATATTCAATGCGTTGCGTAAATACTGCAAACTGATCTTAATTTCCGAAAATTATGTGTCTTTCATTTGCTGTTTAATTCAATTTAGGCTAAGAAATAGCAACTTTTCAGTTTTTTAAATGTATCATAGGAAGCTACGGTTTATGATGATCTAGATTGTAGAACTTAACGTTTTCAGACCAGGAAATATCTAACTATGCTTTAAAATACAAATGTCTTTGCTTTGCTACGTAAATCATTACAAGCGAAATATTCAAACTCCAACTATTCTAATTATAGATTTTTTAATGTATACTATTTATATATATATCATAGGAAGTCCATTCCTATTGAATGTTGGTGGTGAACCCTCTGGTCGTCTCAGAGAAACAATCGAAAAAGAAATGGTCCAAGCAGAGCCGGTAAAGAAAGGAACTAAATGTGAATTCCTATTGAAAATTCCAGGTATGAATATTTAACATCAAATTCAATAGTTTTAATGATAAAAGTACATGGTATAATGAAATATTTTAACAACTATAGATACTATTGCACTTGACAATTTATGTATTTGTTGACAGTACATATCAAGTGAGAAATGAAAATAGTGTACTAAATAAACAGTTGCACATCGACCCTTCGAACCAATGTTCTGTACAAATGTCATACAATTAGTTTAACAAAGCTGCAGGACATGCTGTTTGTGTTACTGTTTTGTACAGAGTTAACTTTTAACATACCATTACATGAAAGCGGACGAACGAAAAGCAGCTCATTATATTTCAATTCTTATTACCTACAAAAAGCGACATACAAAACATTATGAATTATTTTAGTAATATTTGTACATGTATATTTCTTTATAACTTACACAATATTAGAGGTATGTAATTACTGAAGCAATTTTCGTGCTTAACGATTGAATTTCCGATCCTATAACAGTCCAAAGAAAAAACAAATTATAAATCTCCAATGCTATGTTACACATCAATTTATCCACTATATATGTTGGTTTATTTAGATAATATTTGATTTTGAAAATCTGATACATTTTAGGAACAAATCCATTCGACATGGAGGCTTCAGTGACCGATCCAGCTGGAACAACTGAGTTGTGTGAAATTATGGATGAAGATGACTTCCACTACAGATTGAACTTCACACCACACAAAGATGGACTTCATACGCTTAGTATCAAGCACAAAGCTCTTCATATTTCAGGTACTTTTTATTTCAGTCGAGACCTTGATATTTCCACAAATATGGTTTTTATGTGCAATCTTTATTAGAATGCAATTTTTAGAAAAACAATTTTTTAACTTGAAAATTGATTTAATTTTATTTTTCTTTCTTTTTTTTATTGAAACTACTTTTCAATGTTCACGTTAACTTAGTGACTTACTTCATCATTCTCAGTAATGATAGAGTTATGCTCATTGTTTTTTTGGTTATTACTTGACAAAAATTTTGCTTGATTTGCAGTAAAACAAATAGGATGGAACACCTGAAAACGTATGCAACTTAGTCATTATTTTTATAAATCGGTTTTTAATTATAAAATAATTTTCTTTCTTAATTGATTTGTATAAGTATTTGAAATATTACATAAAAATATTTTTTCGCAGGCTCTCCATTCCAGTATTCTGTTGGGCAGCTTTCCTCTGGTGGATACCATAAAGTACAAGTAGGCGGACCTGGAGTAGAGAAAGGAGAAGTTAAAAAAGAAAGTATGTCAATATTATGGTTACTTTTGTGTTTTTTATTCTCTATAACCTATACCTGAAATCTCCTTTTATTTACGTGTTTTATTTGATTGTGATAAATAACACGCAGCAAGGAATAGTTTTTGCCATTAAAAAATAACTTATGAAAAATGTTAGCAGTCTATGTGAGAGATTTTGGAAAATTTCGTCGGTAGATAACGCAATGCTGTGATACCTCATGTTTTGATTAATGGTTGAACTATAAGCCTGCTTTTATGGATTTACGATTGTTTCGTAATTCAGATAAAACATGGAGAATACCGAAAGAGAATAATAATCGGATTAAAAAGAAATATTATTTTTGACATTATAGAGTAAGAAAATCACGGTCATTCAAGTTACTAAATTACAGGCAAAGTTGACCTAAGATGGATTTGATTTTATTTCAAGGTTCCTCATAGTCATAAAACTATTCACGTGTCTTAGTACTAATACACCCTTGTCTTTCAAATATGTTTCTTTGAGCGTTCCTGATGAAGGTAAATCAAGAAAAGCTCTTCGGAAACATACAAATTTAAAAATTGTTATTTTTACAGGTTTTCATGCAAATATGAAGTTAAAACTGACCCAACATAGATCATTTGACAGAATATGAGATGCAATCTTAATCATCTTTTTGAAGATTATACAATAATCTATTAGTGCGCATGAGAAATATTTGTTAAAATGCTAAATTATATGTATTATTTTCAACAGATCACTTTAACATCTACACAAGAGAAGCAGGTGCAGGCCATATGTCATGTGCTATTGAAGGTCCTTCAACTCCAAAAATGTTTTTGGAGCAGAGACCCAATGGATTTTTAGGTTTATCATATAAAGTTGAAAAACCAGGTACGTCATGTTTAATTTATAGTCTAGTTAATGGTTCATAGATGACCAAAACGATTTTAAAGAAAAATAACGACATTCTATCTTTATTTTATATCACTTACATATTGTCTGATATGTTTATTTTTTTTTATTTCCGAAGTGTGTTATCTTATTAATATCATAATGTTTAGTATGCAATAATATTGATCAGAATGATATTGTTAGTATTGACAACCATCAGCAAATTCTACTAATTAGATTCGTTACCTCGGACTGACACAATTTGTTTTAATAAATGTTTTTGTTTAATTACTCAATCATCTATCGTAATGTATCGTAAATTTTCACTAGTAAAATTTTTTTTATCTGAAACGGTCATTTTGGTTTAAACAGTTCTTAAAAGACTGAACAATACAATTATTAAGTCATTTTCAGTCTTTCAGTCAACTCTCAGACTTATTCTATGCGGTTAATTCAGTATTGTTCTGATAATTCGCTTGCAGTAAATTAATATCTGTTCTGTTTATGTTCCGACTGTTCAGTAGTTGTGCTTTACCGGTACACATTTACAACATACTGAATTGTCTGAAAAGTTACTGAACAGTACTGAATTGACTACAAGCTAATTGTCTAAGTACTAGTAGTACTGAATTTACCGCAGTCGATTAGTCTGAAATTGACTGAAAGACTGAACATGACTCAATGATGTATTGTGCAGTATATTCAGATGTTAAGATCAAAATGACAGTTAGAGACCAAAATTCATTTACTAGTATATGTAGCTTGTTCAGCGAAGGACCAAATGATATTCATAAAAAAAATATAAATATCTAAAAAGCACTCCTCTCCATTTTTACATTTTTTTTTATCATATCATCAATACTAACTTCATTATAAAATACTACACAATAATGTTAGCAAAGATTGTTTGAAGTTCATGAAAGCACTTTGAAGTATTTATCTGTACATTTGTCAGGTAGATCTTGAATATTTTCCATTCAAAGGAAATACTATTATGTAAAAATGATTACACGTTTAGTCGCCAATAGTTATAATAAACTTGATGTAAAAGGAAATTAACATTTAATTTCATCACTAAATTATATACTTTTTTTTTTATTTTAAAAGGAATGTATGGTATACACGTTAAATTCAATGACGAGCACATACCAAATTCACCTTTCATGGTCAACATAGCTCCAGACAGTGGCTTGGCAAGAACTGTCACAGTCCACGCTTTGAAAGACAGAGGACTCGCGGTATGATGTAAAAAGGTTTAAAAGGAGCAAACCGAAACCAAAATCCATAGAATTTTGTTCCTTTTTAATATTTGTCTTTTATACTAAGTACAATGTTTTGACATTTCCAGTTAACGCTTATGTCGGTCGTCACCTTAGTCTTGTAACTAGGTCCTTCTTTCTGGATTTTGTTATTGAACGCAGGAAATTGGGTATATTTTACTTAATAGGTTGACTTAAACAGATAGTTGATAAACATATGATTTAACAAAGAAGCTGTATATTGATTAATGTTCCTTATACAAAGAAAAGTGCAAATTTGAAATTTATTATTAAACTTTATCCATGGCTATAGCCCGATATTTATTTTTTACTAATATCAATACTCATTTGCGGAATTGTTCTTCAATCTCAGAGTGAACTCTAGTTGCTGAATTAAACACTACTAAATTTGCTTCAATTCTAGATCTCTGTCTATAAATGGGCATTTACAAAACCTTGTAATACATAAGCGTTTAACATGTACGTCTGTGTAAATGCATGAACAATGAAACAAAAACATTAATCATTTATATCATAACTTCAGGTTGACAAGGCAACCACATTTACAGTTTCATACAATGGTGCAAAGGGCCGTTTACACGCATATTTACGAACCCCATCTGGCGGTCATGAGGACTGTTTCGTACAAGAAATGGATGACGGAATATACGCAATTAGATATATTCCAAAGGAAAATGGGGTTCACTATATTGACATAAAACTAGATGATCACCATATTCCTGACAGTCCTTTTGCCGTCATGGTGGGTTCAGCTGCAGCTGATCCAGCTATGGTCTGTGCCAATGGTGAAGGTCTTGAAAGTGGAAAGACTGGTAAGTACACATAATTTGTCTGGAATAAATTAGTATTTTATGTCATAGTTTTATCTGATTGTTGAAGTCAAATCACTTTCACATGTGGAATTGTTTTTTAATGTCAGTTAAAATAAAGCACCGATACAAACAATATATAAGGATTTTTCTACGGTGTTAAATTGATAACCTTTGATAATACGTTTATTCAAAGGATCAATGTGTTAACATTGATCGTATTTAAATCTACGGGTTCTATAAAGAACATCCTCGTAAAATTTAAAGATAATATATCTCGTTTTAAATAAGCATTCTACAGGTACAACTAAGTTTCATAACCAGAGAATTTAGTAAAAGTTTTGATTAATTTGTGGCCTCGAAATCAATGACTTAGTTATTTACCAGTTATACATATATTACGTTCATTGAAATCTAAAACGTCACTACAGACACGGGCATAGCGAACACGTTTTGAAATATACACACCATAAGAAGGGCCAAAGGAACAAAACCGTCCAAAAAGGAAAGTTGACAATAGGTAACGAAAAATCGTTACTTTTGTATGAAATTAGTGTATATAGTTTCCCATGTGAAACTGACATATCAAAATATAAAAGGGACAATAACTGTTGTTAATATTAGCTTTATTTAAAAAAAAGTTTCCTTTGATAAATTTCCGCAGTAGTATTAGACAACTCTAGATTATTTTACTTTTAATTCTTGGTCAAAAATGTTAAATTTGAGGTTTTTTTGTCATCTGCTTAAATAAGATTACTTCAAAACACTTACTCATTCGTCTAAACAAACATTCCCAAATTCTTATCAACAATCAAATGTGCGCTGAGAAATCACCCCAAAGTACAAAATTTATGAATTAGAGGAAACAGTTGTTTACAGTTGTTCAAAACTCATAACTCTGATATAAAGATACAAATCATTGGAAACTATATACTAATCAATGTAAAAAACAAAAAAACAAAACTGAGGGTATCGTACGAACTACAAACAAGAGCGAGACCTGTTGTGCCGTTAGAGTTAGCGTCTCCTGAGATGAAGGACGAAATATTTATATATTTAGACAGTAGCGAGGGCCTTAGTTTGGTTGCATCTTGCACTAATGTTTCGATAAGTTTACATACTAAATAAGCAATTTCAGCAAACATTCAGATATTGAGACCAGTATTTAAATGATAAATCTTTTAATAGGAAATGAAAAATATTCCATACAAAGATACACTAATAAAAAGATACTGTAATCTACAATATTGTCATGTTTAAATAGGTTTAGTATTTTCAGTGTTAGTAACCGTAGATTTACTCTCAGAAAGACATTCGAAAATACAGAATTGTAATATATGTTTATAATCTTTTTAGTATTGTTTACTGTAGAACATTTTGAATGAGTAAACTACATACATGTGAAAGTGATATTGGCTTCCTTCGGGCAATGGTTATCTCGCGATAATTGCAAATTCAATTTATCGCAAAAGTACCATTTCCTTACCTCTCAGAAAAAACAAAATTTCTTCAATATATATGTTTAAGTTTGCAATAATATCTTAAAATATCGTAAAATTCTACACTCTTGTAGCCATTTTGCCAATGCATTAAAGAATTTGAATACTGAAAAAAGTTAAAGACAACTTCTTTTCAGAATAATTTAATGATATATTCATACTGCTATTTAAATAGAATAGGTCTCATTTCTCTATGTTAATCATTGGTTCAATTTCACAAGATCACATTTCCTCTATTTCAATAAAAAAACAAAACCATTTGGCCGAATGATTACAATCCGTCATTTATTAGAAAGACAAATGATAAAAGTAAAAACGTTTTGTATGGTACTCTTTGTTATCTTTGGAAAATTCCCCGCCTGTCAGACGTTTTAGAAAGTGTTGAGCAAATTTTCCGAATCTAATTAAATCAGCTAACACGATTGAATCAGGAAGACCAATTTAAAACAGATCGACATTATTTGCAAGCATCAATCGATTATTTATCTATTGTAAACTATAAACTGCAATACTGATTTCAGTGTGCATGAAAAGTTTTTACTGGAATTTCCATATTTGGTATGCTGTATAACGTTAGAACGTTCTAGAGTATCAAACCGCACAGGGTCTAGAACAGCCAACACTATATTAGTTCAATTTAGGCTGATCGAATTGTAATCAAATTTTAGAACAATTATATTTATATACTTATATTCAAAATGTAAGCCTTGAGGAGGTGAATACCAATTATGAAAACAAAAATGTTTTTTAGGGTTATTGCATGACTGTTTTATTGTAAAGCTAAACTTGAAAAACTGTTTCAAACATATTTTTGTTTATGATGACGTCAATAATTAGAAGCTTATTCAAATACTGCATTGCTATATGAAATATAGACAGAAACGGGGAAAGCAATATGCAGAAGAAATGTAAGTAACTGTTTTGAAAAGGTGACAATTAAATATAATTTGAAATCATAAAATGAAAAAAAAACATTTCCTATACACAATAGAATAGAAATTATTAGTGAGATTTCTACCGGAAAATCCATGTATTCAGCTAGTTTGTTCTCATTTGCACCAGTTCTAAGTAGAAGACGTTGTTATTTTTTAAAGTTTCAAGTAAATAACAACAAAATAGGTATTTAACGCATGGCTCGTATTAATAAAATGCATAGTTCTTCAAAATGTATGTTCAAATACAAATGTATATAATATAAACGTATAGTGCAGTTAGCACCTCAACAGTTCTCCATATTCTATTGTATTTGTTGATACCCTGAGATGAGTTTAACTATCATATTTTTATAAATTCATATTTACTTTTTGAACCCTTTTTTGCAATGTAATTTGTCAACATCATTGCTGATTTTGTACTGTTCTGTAATGAAGGTGCGAAGAACAAATTTACGGTCAGAACGGCTGGAGCAGGATCAGGTTTCCTAGCTCTCACCATTGACGGTCCATCCAAGGTGGCTCTGAGCTGTAAAGAAGTGGACGATGGTTATGAGTTCAGCTACACTCCATTTTCTCCAGGAAAATACCTCATTTCTATTAAATATGGAAATATCAATATAGCCGGAAGTCCATATGTTTCTGAAATCACAGGTAAAATATTTGTTTTTATTTTTAAGTAATATTGTTTCACTTAACGTTAACCTTAATCAAATTATCCCAACAATGGTTACCGAGACTATTTAGGGAGGGATTGTGTTGAATTTACTTCGTAACAATAAGGAAATTTTTATTTTACATTAGTAGAGCTTTTTATCTGAACAGTACATACCTATGGGTAGTATCAGTAGATGTTTCTGTTGAGCCTCCGACATTTTGTCTCGGAAGCCAGACATAGCGATAATGCATTCCATCGTCGTCGTCATCATTAAGGTTCAGCCTGGGTTATAATTACTGTAAATTCAGAAATTATTGCGATGTTTTTATTATTGCGAAAAATGCGACAGGGTTATAATCGCAAAAATTTAAACTCGCATTTTGAAATTTTTTATATGAATTAAACAAGATTTTTCTCAATATCGCAAAAATTTAAATCGCATTTTAGTCTAAAATGCCAAAATCGCAATAATAAATGCACGCAATAATTTCTGAATTTACAGTATTATAGATATCAATTACTTTGTCAAACCTTTTTGGATTTTATGAACTTGGACAGAAGCTTTTTTTTATCAAATGAAGTATTTTTATCACTTTTTCATGATAAACAAACTAGGTTGTTTTTGCAGTTTACATTAATAAACAGTCTAAAGTTAATGTTTTTAGACATCAAATAACTTTGTTAAACCTTCATTGAATGTTTTGAAACATAGAAATAAGCTTCTCCAAGATCAAGAAATATCATCTGAAAAGAGTCAGATTTATTTGATTATATTTGTATTTTACTGATACATGGACTTAGTTTTTGTCAATCAGCAATAAACTTTTACACTGATAGAAGTAATTGCAAGCAAGACACAGGGTTCAGCGGACCGTTTACATTTGTTTTCCTACTGTGCATATATTGTACAAAATATGAAAAGATACCAATATTTGTTTTATATATGAATATATTTTTTAATAAACTACATAATCAGATGTAGTATAAAAAATAACTTTTGAATTCATTGCTTAACAATACATTCTATAACTTTTGCAGAATATAAAATAAAATAAAAATAAAATAAAAGAATAATATCGGCCATGTCAAAGCCCTTAGATGATATACAAACATAAATGACACATATATGGTCATATTGCAATAGATGGTTGTAATATTAATTAAATTCAAATCTTTATTTTCTTTTGGTGGATCATTGAAAAATCCTTATGAGGAAGAGGGGCAGGAGGAGGGGAAAGGTACGGTACTAGTAATGCACCGGTTTATGGTGTCTTATTTTGGCATAATGTGCAAGTGATGCACTAATTTCATGGAACATTTGATGCAAAAAATACCTTTTATTGATCATAAGCTATTCAGTTTGGCTTTTTTTGGTTTGAAAATTTTAATGACAGGTTTGCTTTGTTCTTTCTTATTAATTCTTCATTATTCAATCCCTATCAGTTGATTGTATATTTTTAAAAGATACTTTTTAAAAGTGACCATATAAATAAAGTAGCGCATTTTGTATACATATATATATATATATATATAACTTCCTCTTTTGAGAATTTGATCTTGTGTAGCGGTTATCACCTCTGTCTTTACATGCTAGGCGCATGGTAGTCAAAGAAAGACAAAAAACGCTGGATGTTCGTCTGTGGAGAGATGACTTGATGACTTATAAATCAAATCTCTGTGTACAGACGATTTTGAGGGTTGAAATTATTATAACACTGTTTGGTTAAACATATAGGAGTAAACTTTCTTAAATGTTAGTTAATCATGAAGGATGAAGGTTTCAAATTTTTCACAAATAACAAATAATGAAATGTATGCAAACAATCTTCTTTAAAGCATTTAATGTTGGCAACGTTTTTTATAGCCAGATAAAAATATAAAGGGGTAATTTTCCAAGGCAATTTCAATTATTTATCAATTACAGATGTTGCCGGATAATACAATGTACATGTATGAAATTATGTTGATAGACATGCAAAGATGTATTTAAATTCTTTAAATAAACCAAGTATGTTGAAATCAAGTATATTGAAAAATCGTAAGTTCATAGAAAAACAGTTCAGAAAATGAATTGGTGAAATTGTTTGCGGTGAAAGAAATAGATTTGTTAAAAATGATGGTGGCATACAAAGGGAAATTTCAGTTTTGTGTATTTAGTTCAATATAATACATATTATTGGCAATTATTGTATTTTTCCTCAGCTACTCCTGGTAAGGTACACAAATTTCTATTGCTGTACAAAATAAAACAATAATTTGAAACTCTGGTTTGACAGAACTAATTGTATCAAAACAAAGTTATAGTTTGGAAATTTTTATGTCTTCTCTGATAATTTTTATCGTTATACTAATTACACTTTAAATTATTGGAAGTTTCCACTGAAATATTGTAATAATCATTTTATCTTGAATACTCTTGTAATTAAGATAAAATGTTTTAAACTTTTTATTTCTTATTAATCATGAACAAAAAGAAATTTGACGAACAATGCAACGTTATTCCTTTCTCTTTTATTTTCTCTTTTTACAATTGAAATATCGAACTATTTGTGATATTTGCTATGTCAAGCTAGGGTACTATCTTTGTTTACGTTCCTACCATTCTATTTCCGAGGTTGTTCTGTTCTGAATCCATCACAAACGTACCATCATTCCTCAGAGCTGCACAATCTCTACAATTGACAGGAACCTAAATAAACGGTCATAATTATAACAGCTATAGCTCAATTACAATGGAAACTTTATGAAACAAACTTAATCATATTACATGCATCATGCGAGAAATAATACTTACTGCGCATATATATGTGGTCAGCAAAAGTCCTTGTTATAAACATTGTGCTGTATTGTTCGCTGTCTGTAAGCATTTAGTAAACATAACTCTTAGGTGCAAGTAGTTTATTCATTACCTAACAAAGAAATGCGATCATCTTTTGGTCCATTTTAACATTATTCTTTATAACATCTAATAACGTATGTTACTTGTGTTGCTTATCGCTTCTTTTAGAACTATTAATGCTTATCTTACGTATTTAAAAGGTTAATTACTTTCAAATTTCAATGAATAGCAAAACGTTCTCAGGCATCATCTGTAGTATTAAAAGAAAATTTATAGTATCAGCTTTTCCAATTTATTTTATGATAAGAATCCAATTTGAAAGCTCTTAACAGTCTTGTTTATAGACCAAGCGTTTTATTACTAGTTTTAGCCAATACATAACAAAAGCTTGTCCTCTATCAGTTTATCTTTCCTGAACTCTTTTTAAATTTTGCTTTGTGTTGCGTGTTTTAGTGTTTACCCACCTCCACTTTTCTTAGTTTGTTGTCTTTACTTCTGTTGAGAATACATTACAGAATGCAAATAAATTTCGATGAAAACGATAATTCTTTTAAATTTAAGTTTATTATAATACTGTCTTGGGTTCATTTTGGAATTATTTTTCGGCAGCCTACCAATTTCACACACAATAGTAATTTAAATCGTTTCTATTCTCTCTTACTTTAATCAGAGAGTAAAATGAATACGTTTTAATTTTATATGGAATTGGTTTTTTATATAGATTTCTATAATGCAGACAGATTTCACTAATTTTGTATACATTCAACTAACATTTACTTTCTTAATTAAAATCATAATCCTAAAATAGCTTTTAGTAGTATATGGTATGAATGGTTGTTGTTTAGATGATGGAATTTAAAATTGTTGAAAGATTGATAAAAGTAGGCAAAACTTTAATTGTCTTATAACCTATTTAACATGAGTGTATTTTTAACATACCAGTTGCATCCCCGATTACTGTACTGGCTTTTTACACTATAATTAATCTCATTTCTGATGCAAATCATAGATTTAAACAATTCATCATCAAAGCAATTCCTTACAATAAGGAAAGGGTACTTTAAAATAATATCTTAAATCACATTTTTTTTGGCAAAGACAACTTAAAGGCAATTAAAAGCTGGTAAAAATGAAAACACTATGTATGTGAACACACTGAAACACAGAGATTGGACAATAAACGTGTATGTTATTTGTTAATATTCATGTCATTATTATTTTTGGTATTGGTTTTTCAATTAAATCTACATATTGAGTTACAAAACATATATTTTTTTGTTTGTTATTGGCTACAGGTAGTGGACGAAAGGCATCTCCGGTGAATGAACAGAGTACCATGGTTGTTGAAACAGTCGAGAAACAACCTGGTCAAAAATCACTAGCAAGATTCAAAGGTGACGCAGGACGAGTTGTTGTTCGTGGTCCAGGACTCAAAAAGGCAGTTCCTGGCCGTCTACAAAGTTTTACCGTTGATGTAAAGGACGCTGGTAAGGACATGTGTTTTTTTCAATAGAATTACAAATCATTGATTGTCCTGTTTACGTTTGCGCTTTTTTGCGTCTTTAAAAATCAGTCAACACATAGTAATCACTATAGAAGGTAAATTGTACATCTCATATTGGGATTTTGAAAAAGGAAAAAATTTATTGATTTTCTACAGCAAAGAGGTAACCTCCTCTTAACATTTTAACTGTAACGCTGAAGTGGGCGTGTGATTTCTATCTTTTTGCACAGATAACGCTTGTTTTCAAATCAAGACGACTCGCATTCGGTTCTTAATATTCCATTATACTCGTATTTATCAGTTTTTGAAATTATATCATTGATCGATTACCATCAGCTTGAAATGCCTTAATATTTAAAAGAAAAGAGATAATTATTCATTATATAATTAAAAAAAAAGCACAATCACACATATATACAATCATTTATATATGAACCACTTCTTTTTCAAACTATTTATGTGGTGAACTTATACATTTACCTTTGTATATCAAGTACAAATTAAATATAAAATAATTAATGACTTTTAATGAGTTGCACAGTATTTTCACAATTGAATGAGTTGTACAGTATTTTCACAATTGAATGAGTTGTACAGTATTTTCACAATTGAATGAGTTGTACAGTATTTTCACAATTGAATGCGGGTTTTTGTATGCCATTTAAAGTTATAAACCTATTATTTTTAGGAGCAGCAATGCTCATGGTTGGAATGATTGCACCAAGTGGAATTGCAGAACCCGAGCTGTTGGTCAAGAAAAACACAAAAACTGAATTCACTGTCAGTTTCAAAGTACAGGAGGTTGGAGACCATACATTAGTTGTAAAATACGGAGATGAAGATATTCCAGGCAGCCCATTTATTCTTCATGCAGGATAAACACATTCAAATCTCTATACAAACATTTGTTGCTTTTTCAAATTTTCAAGTTGTAATTATATAAAATTTACGATATTTATAATTTACCAATTGACAAAGACAATCTTGAGAATGTTAGGGTATGGAAGTATTTTTTATGAAATTGTACATGGAAAATCTTTTATATTCGAAAGAGTAAACTTACTGTATGAATATTTATATTTCTTTCCTTCCCTAGGCTAGTCCCTAATTTGTCATGACATTAGAATTTAATAGTTTAAATGTTTTATGTAAAAATATAACTAAAGCTAACTTGCATTATATTTTTGTTTATAATGCATCACTTAGTGGACGTTATTAAAATATGTGATATGAATTTTCCACATTTCAATATAAACTTTCCCTTGTGATAGTATGGAATATATGTTGGCAACTGACTCAGATTTGAGTACAAGGATTGTTGTACTATTTACACGAATAAATGTTTACATCACCATATAAGATTGTTTGTTGAATTGAAAGAGTATTATTATTATAAAGTCACAGTTTAGCATATTCTGGTCGGTAGTTTGAAACATAAAAAAAAACTTCATTTGTTTATTTCAACTTCACATACCACATCAAAGTATTCTTAGGATACATAATAATATGACACACCTTCATTATAATTTAACGGATATATTGGAGGTAATTTTAAGCAAAACATGGTTTTGTTTTTTGATTGGCTGGTAATAGTCGAAATTTTCTTATTTCACTTCAGACTAACACCAATACGATAGAGTTTAGAGAATGTAGTCGTTCGCAAACATTGCAGCGTACACTCGATCAGCTATTATAAAAAGTAAAATCACAAAAATACTGAACTCCGAGGAAAGTTCAAAAAGGAAAGTCCCTAATCAAATGGCAAAATCAAAAGCTCAAACACATCAAACGAATGGATAACAATTGTCATATTCCTGACTTGGTACAGACATTTTCTTCTGTAGAAAATGGTGGATTGAACCTGGTTTTATAGCTAGATAAACCTCTCACTTGTATGACAGTCGCATCAAATTCCATTATATTGACAACAATGCGTGAACAAAACAAACAGACACAATAGGTAAAAATGTAAAAATAGGGGTACATCAGTCAACATTGTGTTATCATCTGAATAAATATAAAAACAAACAAATGTAACAAAGAAGCACAAAAAGGCATACATCAAATATAACATCCTCATTTTGCTTTTTTATTATACTATTTTATTTATCTATGTAAAATCCACCCATAAAGGATGGAAGGTTTTAAGTACTGGCGTAGAACGCGCGTTTGACTTCACACAGGTAGATATAAAATAATTTTGTCGTTCTAAGTATGACGGGAGTTCAACTTGTCAGAGGTCAATGGCGATAGTTTACACGGGACACCTCTTTTTTTCCCATAAATAAAACTGGAAGCCATTCAAACATACGAAAATGAAAACCCAAACAATCAACTAGTTTTTAGTAAAAGTATTCTTTGAATTCCTATTCTGTTGTAATTTCATGCACGTATGCATTCATATGATACAAACAAGAAAATATAAGAACTGTTTATAAACAACTTATCACACTTTACCATGTTTAATGCTCATTAATTTGATATTTGATAATGCATTTTACCTCTCTATCTTCAAGCACTTTTTTATAAATGAGGTTCATGAAAAATATGAAGCGTATATTTAAATTCAATTGCTCTACTCAGTAGAGACCTTATTCCGAGAAAAAAAATGCATTTATACCATACTTCAATTGCGTTCTATCTCTTGCACCATACACCATCTCCTTTCCTCATAAAATAAAAGAATAAATTGCATCATTTTCAATATATATGTATTTTTATTACGTATTGGCCTTATCAGACAAACATGTAATTATTTTGAATTGTGATTGGCGATAAACATTAATTTTTTATAGTTGAAATTGTTCTGACAAAGGGGAGAATCCAGTTAAGATCAATTGTACCGTCTATTTTTGTTGTATCATACTTCTGTCATATCCTTATCCCGGAATAACTTTTGTCCCAGAAAGGATAACTATTATCCCAGAAAGGAATTAATTCGATATTAACATAAACGGTACCAATTTTACTGTACCATATTGCTTTTCGACAATAATTGTCTCTTCATTTATGTTTTTTTTGCCAAACTTTTCTTAGCGTTGACCTGCTCACCCAAAAAGGTCCAAAAGATAAATTGTGGTGTAAGTTGCCAAATCTTCAGAATTAGGTATACACGACAAAGAGCATAAGCAGCGACAAACTAAATATTTAAGTCAAACGTGTAAGTTGTTATAAAACATAGTTTAAAAAGATCTTTATAGTCGACGCATGCGCTCTATGTTTTCAGTCCTTAATATCATTGGAAATTTTACCTGTTTTCAGTGAATTTCGTGAAATCCGAAATTGAGATATTTGTGACGTCATGACAAATAGACAGATTTCCTACCTAGTCATGACAAATAGACAAACTGCCTACCTAGTCATGACAAATAGACATATTGCCTAACTAGTTATGACAAATAGACATATTGCCTACCTAGTCATGACAAATAGACATATTGCCTACCTAGTCATGGTTTAAGCTTTAAATTTTATATGGAAATAAAGGTCATATAAGGTCCTAATCTTACCAACTCCTTCGCCTTAAATTAATTAATTGATTTTAATTGTCGAAATTATGATATTCTTTAACATTTTTGACAAAATACCTTTTATATTAGGCATTTGGCAATGCTTTAGGATAAAGTATAAGTTTATTTGAAAATTTTTCATAATGACAGTTGCTTAGATATGTAACGAATCAATATTAATATGCTTAGAATTTTTATCTAATGGGAACGAAGGCGACTGCAGTGTATTAATCTTTATCAAAAACGCTTGTTACTTCGAAATATCTTTTCATATTTCCTAAATAGTGGTGCGCAGTATTAAGAGAGTTTTACTCATATGATCGAACTTCTGTGAATTCAGAAATTATTGCGAGATTTTTATTAATGCGAATAATGCGACCGAGTGATTATCGCATTAATAAGAACTCGCATTCTGATATTTGATACATATATATGTTTACAGCTTTTTCAGAAATCGAAATAATTAATATCGCATTTTTGTTAATTCGCAATAAATCGCAATAATAAATGCACGTAATAATTTCTGAATTTACAGTATTAGATTGGACAAAGCAATGAGAGCCAAGAATTACATAAAAATGAAGTAATGATAGACAGAGTACAGTCGTATGCGATTAATTTGCATCAGGTATCTGGTGATTTTTTTCCTGTGAGTCTAAGTTTAAAAACATCATTGTTTTTATTTTTTCCTGAAGGGGTGACTGCAGGGTCTTTAAATATGGTCCCCAAGGCAACCTATCCAACAGAAAACCTTATACTAAAGGGGATCATCACGTGCACGAAACCATCATTTTGATTTCGATTGTATCATCATCGAATGAAACTTTCCACCGAATTTGTATTTACACATATCGACATGACGGGTACCAATAGTGGAGCAGAATCTGCTTACCTTTTCAGAGCACCTGAGATGAAACTGTTTTTGGTTAAGATTGGATTTCAGTGTTTTTTGTTGTACTTTTTATCTCAGACTTTAGTTCTCGTTATAGTGTTTTGTGGACATGTTTGTGTTTTTGACGTTTATCGTTTTTTGCCATGGGCTGTCAGTTTCCCTTCGATTTGTGTATTTTAAATATTCCTTTTGTATCTTTAATCGCTTTTTTGAACAAAGGTATACTTCTTTTGCCATTTACTTACGGTTTACAAAGGAAGGCAAATAGATCAGCACTTCTGTATATCTTAGGTATAGTTGTATGATTCTATTGTCCTCATCCTAGGTTTTTTATGAAATCGAAGGCGTGTCTAGAAATATTAATTACGGTTCAAATTTTACTGCACCAGAAGTGCTTTTCGCCAATCAATGTCTCTTTAGTGGTGTTCTAGGCCTAAGTATTTGAAAATCCAAAGCATAATAAACGTGTTGAAATGTCTGTGATACTGTTATCGTTACCACCTTTCTCGATGTCATTTTATTTCAAATAGAATAAGCGTAACATGAACTTTTGTATCGATATTAATGAATTTAAAATAAATCAGGTTAAATGATTGCTATGATTTTTTTTGTATGATAACTTATATAATTGTTTTAGACTTATTCTTTAGTTTATGGAGACATTCAGTGAAGCGACAAAACTTTAACAGAATTAAAATCTATTTGACATCACCGAACGTGCACTTACACAATGTTACAAAAGCAAAACAACGGATGCCACATGAGGAAAACAACGGATGCCACATGAGCAAAACAACGGATGCCACATGAGCAAAACAACGGATGCCACATGAGAGCAAGGTCTTATCTTTCTAGAACACCTGTGACGTCCCCCGGTTTTTTGTTGGTGTTCGTGTTGTTCAGTCTTTTTATATGATGTTTTTTTTAGATTGTTTATTCGATATAAAAATAAGGAGATGTGGATAATTGCCAATGAGACAACTATGCACCAAAGTTCAGATAAGTGAATATTGGCAATTATATGTCACCGTACGATCTTCAACAATGAGAAAACCCATACCGTAAAGTCGGCGATAAAAGGCCCGACATGAACAAGTTTAAACGAGAAAAAACTAACGGCATGATTCATAACAAAACAATTTACAGAAAATAAATATGACCGACATGAACCAACGACAACCACTGAACTACAGACATCTGACTTGGGACAGGTACATACACATGTGGCGGGGTTCAACATGTTTATGTGGGCTCAATCCTACCCATTACCCATATATATTATGGTGTTTTAGCAAGTCATTAATTCAACGACAAAACCATTGTTATATTATTAATATTGAAGTACAAAACTTAAAAAAAAGATGAATGTTGGATGAATATATTCAAACTTTTATATAGTTTGGTTCGCACATGCCAAGAAATCTAAGCTCAAAACTCCGGTGAACCTCCTACGGCACCAATTAGTAGTTAAAAATATTTGATTTCAACAAATTAATTAATGACCTGCATGTACGTGTCGCTTAGAACACGGCCATGTACCAAATGCTCAATATTAATCATCCGTGTAATTTGCTCTATGGGATGTTTGTAAAATTTCAACAGAGGAAATTTCTTGGCATGGCATTAAATGTTAATAAACATTTTACAAAAGTCATCTACACGGACACTTATACCGACACCGATATCTCCACTGACTATAAACTGAACACATGGTGTTGTGTTGCTCTTATCGACACGTGGCGGAGCGTCAATCAGCGGGTAGACAGCGTACACTGACTATACAAATAGAAGGACCGTATCAAAATGTTCAAATAAACGGAATATTACCTCGTAAAATTTGGTTGGACTCATCAGAGTTAAAATAGAAATAATTTTTATTAAACTATAGTTGGTTTATATAACCTTTTATTCGGAATCTGAATCAACAAGTGCTCTCGTTAGTTTTGAAATCCCCTTAGTCATGCATTTGTGATATTGATATTTATGGATCCATGATTTCCATCTTGATCATAACTTATTTGTCTACTTTATTAGTGGCCATTAATAAACGCTTTTCAACATTAAAAAAAAAAAACACTGCACAGATTAAAGTTTTATACACGTTTGGAAACATCTTTGAAGATTAGAGTGTTGCTGCTTATATCACGAAATATGGTGAAGTTGAATTCATCCCTTCGAAATTATTTACGGACGCCATTATGAGTTGGTTGACTGAATTTCAACTATGTTATGTTATGTGTTTTTGTACTGTTGTTTGTCTTTTCGTCGTATTTTGTTTTTTGTCATGGTATTCTCAGTTTGTTTTCGATATCTTTCTGCTCTCTTTTATGACTTCTGGAACGAAGACAAGATAAAATCTAAATGAAGCTTTTTATTAACTATTTACATGCAGAAACATTTACGATATCTATTCATTACGAAAAAAAAATATGTATTCATGACATGTTTAGACGAACTACAGTATAAATTCGATATAAGCTGATGTGATATATTTCATTATCAACAATCAACTTTAATGCCATTCAACGATTCGGGTGTCCAACATTCTCTCTACAAGATTGACCGCTCATCATCATCCTCATCACTCTCTGCGAGCTTTGAAACATTTTTTGCTTTGTCTTGCTCCATGGTTGTTGGCGGTGAAGAATAGCTAACGGGACTTGGAGAGTTTACACCTAATGGGATAGTGTCAAAATCAAATCCTTCAATAGTTGCTCTGAAATAAAAGAATACAGTTACAAAAGAAGATATGTAATTTTGATGATTTCATAGCTTAAAAGATACAATTTAGATCAAAAATTTGGAGGGAAATATATAAAATATTTTGATATTATACGTTGTATATTACTATAATACTTAAAGGCTCTTGAAAAAATACAATAATTTACATCGTATACATAGAGAGTATATGAAACTGTTTACAAAATAATATTATGTATATACATCTATTCATCAATAAACAAAGAAAACGTGTAAACAATTCTAGGTTACACCACCTCCTCTCTCAATGAGCGAAACTCGTACTGCCTAAAAAGCTATAAGGGCACGGGAATGGCAAATTGTGAAACTATAAAAAAAAGAAAACTAAGGCCCGATTATTACGAGAAAGAACGAAATACAAGAGGTTCTAAAGAGCCTGTGTCGATCACCTTGGTCTACTAACTATATCGGCAAAAATTTACTTTTAAATAGATCTTATATTGCTGATAATTCTTTGCTTATTTAAGTTTCTATCTATCGATTATAATTTCGTAATATAATAATCATGTACGGCAAAACGCAAATAAATGGTAAAATTCGTCATCAAAGGGCAATAACTCAAATAAGAATTTGTCGAACGATTGATTTCTACCATATTGTCGTAATTGTAGATCTGGTCTCGTTGATCATTTTTGGATTTCAAAGTTTCTCTCTATTTATTATAGTTTTCAAGATAATAGGCCAAAATAAAAAAAAAAAAAAATTGGTAAAATTTGTCATTTAAGAGCAATAAGTCCTGTAAGAAGTCGTCTTATAGTTTTGACATAGTTGGACAATTGGTAGAACTCAACTTTTTGAACATTTGTGCCCTTGTCAGATTTTCTCTATTTATAACGGTTTTTAAAAAAATAGACAATACTTGCACTTTCCATAGACTACAAGTTCACTTTTATTCAAGATCTTCTTTTACTATATTGAGTAACGATGATGTATTTGTAAATAAGATATGCTCGTTATGTTCACAATCGTATTGATACTTACATTGCTGTTGGGTCTATTATAGGCTTACTAATCTTATAACAGCCATCGTCCATTGTATAGTCATTATCCCAATCATTACTCATTTTATACGATTTGCAAATTCTACCAAAAAAAAAAAGTCGTTAAATTTTTAAAACTGATATATACACGCAGTTCTGGAAAATAAAATGGGCTTGATATATTGAACGACGATTTAATGTATTTATTCCTGATATCTAACACACGTGCCTATGTTACCTTATTCCCAGTTTAGTATATGTTTCCTGTATTAATTGGCCAATTACAAGTCGTAAAAATACACGTAGCCCCGGCTGTTGCTTACCCATATATCCTAGAATTGCTACCCATAATCCTTGAAAACTTATTACGCGTTTACCTTAATTCCGCTGTTGTAACCAGTGAAAAAAGGAATTCTATAGATTATCCATGATGTCTGTATTCAATAATGGAATCGTCTATCAATTTTATCCTATCATGCCGATCATTGGCATTTATATAAGTAAACATAAGCATCATTTGGCTACCACGTGGTCAATGAACTAGACTACTTAAATTAAAACATAGTTATTCAAATCACACACGTTTACTTCACGCCGTCTATGACCTAAGGCAACTAGAACTAGCAAGGCCCCAACATTTCCTAAACGTACTTAACTGAATCTTATTGACTTATAGAGTATTGTAAGTTTTGACGTATCTCGATCTCCGGACCTGCCTAGAACAAGTTAGCTTATTTGAAAACTGTTATTAAGAAAATTGCTTTTAAGGTAAAAGTGCATTCTTAAAAAAACATTGATTATTGCAAAGATATTGGTTTTTGAAAACAAAGTGGTGTCAGTGATTTTATTTTAGATAATATTTCCTATGGTTATATAATTGCTTTTAAAGAAGATCATGAACAAGTTTTTCAATGATAAAAAATCGGCCTTCGTTGATCATGTTTTTGTGGACAAAGCTGATTCTGAATTAGCAGCCAAAGGTTGTTCAATTAAGGCCCCCTTTGGAACCGTATGTTGTCAATGATTGCATTTTAAATATTTAGCAAACATTGCCACTTATTTAAAGTCCGGTACCAGCATTTTGACATGTGTTCTCAACACCAAACTTATTTAGGGTTGTCTTGTAGAAGAGTATACTAATAGTTACTTGTATTAAACTTTAGACTTTTGCCTGCGACAATTACTAAGTGTTTGAAGCTATAGTGAAAAAATGGCAATTAAATTTCATGCGTCCTAAGAACTTTTCTTAATTTATCTTCATCAAGGACGATCAAAACCAAATATTTTAAAGCCAAGGATATATACGAACCAAAACAGTTGCAATCAATCCCACATTTTCGGAAATCAGCCAAGTTTTTGGTAAATGAGGAAAACAGTATTTTAGAGCAGGTCCAAAAACTCGAATGGCTTGGCACTTCGTGGGATTCAAAAAGGTATGGTTTTCTTATTCCTGAAAGAAGAATGAGTGATAACCATGGATTCATTGAATTCTATATGTCGCATTTTCTGCAGATCAAAATTTACCGTTAGATTTCCCACAGTGCAAGTGTAAATACATACTACGATATTCATCTTACCCTTTTTGTCTGCAATATACCACAATAACACCCACCAAAATACCAAGGATAGTGCAACTTGTACATACTGCTAAGATAATGCTCACTGAAATGAAATTGTGAAATAGCTTAAACTCCAGCATCTGTTCTTGTTCTGTAACACATAAGTATAACATTAGAATCTATATCTGATTTTTGCTCCTTTTATTTTATTTATCTTTATATCTAATAACACTTTGAGTTCTTGTCAAATAGTTTATCAAACTGTTTCGAAACATGCTTGATTAAACAAAAAACTAAAATCGTACCGACAGCTTACACAAGTTTGAAGTGGATCTTTTAGTGTTTAAAATATATCTAAACGATATCAATACAAAATATAAACTCTAATGTAATATTTAGTTGTAAAAGAAATTAACGCCTCCGATAATTACAAATATGTACATTGAAACGAACTCTTTTAAACATAATTTCCTCCGATCAAAACAAAATATAGCGTTTAACAATATTATCTATTATATTCATGCATTTTGCTATGCAATATTTCAGCAAGTGTATATATTTCAGGATTTTAGTATGAAAAATATAACGACCAAACAACTGCATTGCTCCTCATGATTGCTGTGCATCTGTTTACGACGAGTCATAACAAACATTGATATAAAAGCCAGTCACTGGACATCTTTGAATACATGAATATATACACACGGTCACTTCAACAAACAAACACCCTTTCATAAAAAAAATATCGTATGGACTTCTCTGTGTGTTAGTTTCTAAAAAACAATTGTACAACTGTTTTAAAATAAAAATGTATTACCAAAAAATACTCACAAGTATTCTCTTTACCAGATAGTGGTATTGGTACTAAAATATAAGAAAAATAAAGTCTTATATTTAAAATGATAAAATCAAAATCAAGAAATCAGGAGAAACCTTTTAATGTGTTCTCAAATATTAATATGGACATTTTCAAGAAAATACTACAATACCAAAAGTCACTTTTATTTGATAGTATGGAATACCTCACAAGCCGCTGATCTCACAATATCAGTTCAATTCAAGGCAGTAGGCCTTGTTAACCCCAAAATGTACCCATTGTTAAAATTGTTCATATATTTTTACTATTGAAAGGATATGGGTCCATGCATTATCTGCTTAAATCTTTTTGAAATTCATCGTTGTATTCTATTTGAAGAGTATATTGAATATGATCCATAAAAACGGTCGAAAACGCTACCAAGCATATATTATTGTGTGTTTTTGCACATTTTCGTAAAATTAATATTCGTTACTGTTCAAAAGCGAAATAGGAACATGTCTAAGAGTTAATGTAATGGTTACATTAACAGGGTTTGTCATTTCGGAGCTATTTCTGGGTGACTGTAAGATATGGGTTTTACTCATTGTTGAAGGCCGTACGGTCACCTATAGTTCTCAATTGTTGTGTCATTTGGGCTCTTGTGGAGAGTTGTCTCATTGGCAATCATACCACATCTTCTTATTGTTATATTGATATAAATTAATGATTTATTATTAAACAAGTCGGAACATTTTTTATCCCTCAGATAACACAATATTTCAAATTTTACCAGAACTAGAGGCTCTAAAGAGCCTGTGTCGCTCACCTTGGTCTATATGCATATTCAATAAAGAACACTTTCCAACATTGTAGACGAGAATAGAATTAATTACAAAAATCTTTGTTTTTTTTAACTGATATTGCTGATCATTGAAGTCTGTTTAGTTTCTCTCTATCTTATTTAGCTTTTGCTCCAAACACAAAAGAGGGTAAAAAATTTCCTAATTTAAGGGCAATAACTCCTATAAAAAGTAACAGTATACTAATTATATCGGCAAAATTTGACTTGTTAGTAGGTCTTGTCTTGCTTCTCATTTTTGATTATTTAAGTTTCTATCTACCTTTTATAATTTTTATCATATAAGGCAAAACGCAAAACAAACAAAAAAAATTGGTAAAAATCGTCACTAAAGGGCAATAAGTCCAATCAGGAGTCGTCGAACAATTTCCGCCTTTTGTTTTAATTGTAGATCTTGCCTTGCTGATCTTTTTTGTTTAGTTAAGTTTCTTTCTATCTATTATAAGTTTTAAGATATGACAAAAACGCAAAAAAAATAAATTGTACTAATCCTCATCAAACGGCAATAACTCTAATGAGGAGTCAACTGACGATTTCAACCATAGATTTAATTGTAGAACTTGTCCTTCCGACTATTTTTGCAATTAAAAAATTCTCTCTATCTATTATAGTTTTCAAGAAAATAGGCAAAAATGAAAAAAAAAAAGTGGTAAAATTTGTCATTTAAGGGCAATTACTCCTACAGAAAATCATCTCACAATTTTGACGTAAATGAACAATTGGTAGAGCTCAACATTCTGAATTTTATCACTTCAGATTTCCTCAATTAAAAAAGGTTATCAGAATAGTAGACATGCATTTTACCCAATATTTTCTTTTTTTAGCCACGTCGGCCATCTTTGTTGGCATGCGGGGTCATCGGATACATTTTTTAATCTAAATACCCTAATGATGATTATGGCCAAGTTTGATTCTATTTTGCCCAGTAGTTTCAGAGGAGAAGATTTTTGTAAAAGATTACAAAAATTAACGAAAAATTGTTAAAAAATTACCATAAGGGGCAATAACTTATTAAGGGGTCAATTGACAATTTGGTCATGTTAACTTATTTGTAGATCTTACTTTGCTGAACATTATTGCTGTTTACAGTTTATCTCTATCTATAATTATATTCAAGATAGTTACCAAAAACTGCAAAATTTCCTTAAAATTACAAATTCAGGGGCAACAACCAAACAACGGTTCGTTTGATTCGCCCGACAATGTCAGGGCAGATAGATCTTAACCTTATGGACATTTTAACCCCTGTCAGATTTGCTCTAAATGCTTTAGTTTCAGAGATATAAGCCAAAAACTGCATTTTACCCCTATGTTTTATTTTTACCCATGGCGGCAATGTTGGTTGGTAAGCGGGGTTGTCGGACAAAATTTTCAAACTAGATACCCCAATAATGATTGTGGCCAAGTGTGGTTAAATTTGGCCCAGTAGTTTCAGAGTAGAATATTTTTGTAAAAGTTAACGGACGACGACGACGGACGACGGACGCAAAACGCCAAGTGATGAGAAAAGCTCACTTGACCCATTGGACCAGGTGAGCTAAAAAAAAATTCATTAAATTCTTTCAAAACATTCCTGAAACACGTTCTGTCTTTATACTATGAAACTCCCTATTTTGATATGGAATTTGACTGTTTAAAATTAAAAAAAAATGTCAAACAAGATGGCCTAAAGACGTAAGAAAAAATTAAATGTGGACAACATTCATATATACTTGTTTCTATAAAAAATAAATTGCCGTCTCTCTTTGCATTACTTTGTGTGATAAAGAGCAAATTTTATGGTTAATTAAGTGTAAGGAAAATCAGTAATATTCAGTATGGAACGATTTCATGGATTACTGTTGTGACGAGTTGACCTTTCTATATTAAAATACGTTACTTTAGTATCCTATTTATTTTCGTTTGTTGGCAAAAACACTTCAAATTGGTAAAAAATTATCATTAAAGAAATTTAACTCCAAGAAGGAGTCGACTGATGATTTCTGCTTTAATTTTTTTTATTTCTTTTCTTGTTGATCGTTTTTTTTGGGGGGGATATCTAAAGTTTCTATTTATCTATCATGGTTTTTATGATGAAATACAATAACAGCAAACACTGTATAAATAGATATAAGAAGATGTGGTATGAGTGCCAATGAGACAAATCTCCATCAAAGTCACAATTTGTAAAAGTAAACCATTATAGACTGTATAAACTCCATTTAAGGATATTAAATTCAAAAAGGAGTCGTCTGAAATTTTAGGCCATTCAATTGATTAGTAGATATCGTCTTGCTGATCAAGTTTTGCTTTCTAAAATCTCTATCTATCTATCATAGCTATTATGTGCAATACAAAAACGCAAATGAAGTGAAAACTTCATTTAAGGGCAATAGCTTCAATAAGGAGTTGTCTGACGATAAATACGTTAATTTGTATGTAGATCTTGTCTGACTTGTTGAGCATTTTTGCTTTTACAGTTTCTCTCCATCTACTAAAATTTTCAAGATGATAGGCAAAAAGAAAAATATATGAAGGGCAATAACTCTTTTTAGAATTCGTATTACAAATTTGACGTAAAAGAACAGTAGATTGATATCAACATTTTGAATATTTCTGTCTAAGTCAGTTTTTTCACTATTTACTCAGGTTTACAATTAATAGTCAAAACTTGCATTGTGCCCCTATGTTCTATTTTAGTCATGTTAGGCTTATTGTTTGGCAGGTAGGGTCATGGGACACTTCTTTTAAACCAGATACCCAAATGATGATTATAGATATGCATGGTTTAATTTGAACAAGTGGTTTCAGAGGAGAAGATTTTTGTAACGTTTAACAGACGGCGACGACGGAGTACGACACACAACGGAAGACTGATGCCAAGTGTCGAGAAAAACTCAGACAAGGTGTGCTTAAACGGTCGTTATGTTAAAAGAGCAGAATAATTACTAAAAAAAATCGTTCATATTTTTTTTATTATACATACCACAACAGTCATCAATGGAAACAGAGTCTGTTCCTTCTGTGGTCATTCCCTTAGGACATGAAAAACAAAACATTTGGCCTTTTTGATCTTGATATGTTCCTTTGTCACATGACAGACATTCATCATTTGAACAGAAATGACCAATGCTACAAGGTACTGTAATGAATAGCAAAGGATTACAGAGAGGAAAAAAATACATATATACACGTAGCAGCGTTCTAAAGACAGTGTTTGATATAAATGCGTCGATGAAGGAGTATTATAAGTTCAGTAAAATATATGAAGTTAAGACAACGCGCGAACTGTTACATTGTAATGTGAAATTGCGAGCCTAGCTGCATTCAGGCAAAATATTTGATATGGTAGGAAAAATTATACAAATAATCAATACCAATGCAGAACAAACCAAAATTATTTTTGACAATAATATTGACAACTATTTTGATTTTAAAGCCATATAGTGTTTTTTTTATAAAAAATAATCTACTTTGAAAATACTATAGTTTTTTAAACACTGTACAATTAAAACAAGCTAAACAATTTAAACAATTATCAACTAAGGTCTTGAGGATGTTGTTACTCAATGACCCACATTTCAGTGAGTGCTTGCATCTCATATATCCCAGTGAAATTAGGAATATGGATACTACCGAAAGCAGAAAGTTTGCCTCATATCTTGATCTTTTCCTTGATATTGACACAGGTGGACGACTTCGAACTAAAATATATCACGAATGTAATATTTTCGACTTTTTTCAATCGTCAACTCCCTTTTTCCCAGCAGTATCATACACTTTGCCCACATCTTACGGCATTTACATATCTTAATAGATACGTTACGATATTGTATGTTCACATCATAAGGACTTCATAAGCAGAATTGTGCATCTCATACACCAAACAAAAACCAATATTCAAACAGATTTATGAGGACGAAAGATTGAAGTCGAATGCTTACCTTTCTACCGCCTTCTTTTTAAGTTTCCTCATTTTTTGGCTTCTAAATTGATCTATGAGATTTGTATATCGGTTAATAAACTCATTATTGCTACCAGGATTGACATTTTTCACTAGGCGCGCGTTTCGTCTACAAAATAGTACCATTGACGCCCAAATCAAATTAAAGATCGACTTTGAAAGACATTGAGTACCGAAAATCACATTCCCAGTGCTGAGTACTGGGTTGGTGATATCCTCAAGGGGTGGGAGACATCAACCAACAGTGGCATCAAGGACAGCAGGATCAATTTGTACGCAAATTACTGTTGCTTTTATTTATCAATCTTACAACTGATGTTGTTTCTTAAGCGTTGGTCTAATGACTTTGAAATTATTATTTTCGATGATGAGAGTATATATATGGAAACTTGAAATTCTGTCGTATGTAAGATGACCTCCATACACGTTAAGTTAAGTCGTGTATCAGTACGGTCTTCATAAAGAAAGATTTTTATGACTTAAAACAAACAAATTGTATCTGCGAACCCCAAAATGTTTGGTTTTTAAAGAGGGTAAATATAAAATAAGAATTTTCTTTGAAGAGACGTCAACTTCCTCTGAGAGAAAATGACGGGGGATAATAAACCTGTTCAAATTCTTGACCAAAATATTTCTTGCGCTAGGTCGTGTAACCGGTCATTGGAAAAAATCGTTTTGGAAGGTAATGTATGCAAGGGGAGCACGTTGTACATGTATGTGAAGAGCTACATATAAGAAAAATTTTGTGCAAAATGCTACAGAATATCATAAAGAATTCAATAAAAAGACTAACCGTAGCGAATCATAAGTTTACCTTGATACGTTAGAAAAGGATATATGTTTTGCAAATATTGCTCAACACAGCTTAAACATATGAACCATTCAACTGCATATCAGAATAAAGATATCAAAACCAATAAAATAAGATTTGCTTCGTTTAAAATAACCGGACTCACCAGATGCGTATGTAACTCATATATGAAGCTTCTTATGGGGATGATTGAATAAGCATACCAAAAAGAAATGCATGATATTCAATTAAAACAGTAACCGTTTTAAAATATTACTCCCATTAAATTTTGAAGTTTTCCTTATTACGAAGAGTTACTATTCTTATGTTACAGATACAACTTTTATGTATTAATATTTGATAGTAAAATCCATATTAATGCCTTATATCAGGTATCGTTATAGCATTTGTGTAATAGACCAACATCATAAGCTAACATTATTAACTCTAATTCGTAATTCAGAAATGTAATTGATATGCCAATCATCGATCCAACAAAACACTTAATGATATTTCTTTTGGTTAGACATTCTTTTTTTTTTGCATAAAACATGTAAAAGGAGATTCTAAACAATATTCTTTAACATTACTATATTCAGAAATTATTACGAGGTTTTTATATATGCGAACAATGTGAGTGGGTGAATATTGCAAAAATAAGAACTGGCACTCTGATATCGGACACATATATTTGCATGACGCTTTTCCCTGAAATCGCAATAATTAATCTCGCATTTTTTTTCAGTCTTCAAAAATCGCAATAATTATTGCAATAATTTCTGAATTTAAGGTAAGATATAGATCGAAAACAAAACCAGATATTTCGTTTATCTGTTCATAATATATCAAAGAACCTATCATCAAATTTTATTGAAATAACTTTGAAAAATATTTACCGCAGTATGCAATAACAGGAACTGTGCCAGATGGACAATTTAAACTGATTTCAGATGTAGAACTATTCTGTACAATCTTATATATGATACTATTGTGTGGAAGATCTAACTCAGTTCCGTTTTCCAATTCTTTAAGTTCTGTGACGGCGTCTCCGAATCCATAAACACAGGTCTCTAATCCATCTGTAAATTAAATCATACATTAGGAACAGTCACATCGAATTAATTTTGAGGAAATTTGTTCCTGTCTTTAAGTTATTTATGTAAAAATAAGGAAAGGTTGTATGATTGGAAATGAGAAAACAATCTATCGAAGTTCAAATAAAGTGGAAGTAAGCAAATATAGGCAACCGTACGGCCTATAACAATGAAAAAAATCCATATCGTATAGTCGGCTACAAAAGGCCCCGAAATAAAAAATATGAAACAATTCAATTTAGAAAACTCACAGTCTAATTAATAACAAAACTATTAACGAAAAACAAATACGACAGATATGAACAAACGAACTACAAACACTGTTCTGTTGTGATATCACATTGCTAGCGTTTGTATTGATGTATTGATCATTGTAAAGATTTAATCACAAGTTAAACTGAAACAAACATGTCCACGTCTTTTTTGAAACTGTTCCTGTAATGACATAATATAAGATATTTTGATACATGTACTGTTCATCTTGTTATTTTTAATACTTACGCGTAGTTGTATCACATGTTAATTTCACTGTAAAACCAACAGAAGAGTTAGTGTCTAAATTCTTTTGTGAAATATCGCAATTTATAACTTCATTGCTTGATATGGTACAGATGTTTGACGTCACACATGTAAGTTGATGGGCAGCTGACTCAATTCTAGCCGTAATGTTGTTTTTGACATCGGCAGTGAATGAAGTATCGCATCCATCCAAGTCGTAATACGCTGTGTGATTGACGTGAATTTTTGTTGATTGGATAATCTCTGAAATTATAATCAATTATTTACACATCAATATTTTTAGATAAATCAGCACAAGATTTATTTTGAGATCACTGATGATGATTTATTCGTTGAGCGTATGTTCACTTGTTTCTGTTAATATGTCTTTTGATTGAATTAAGTCATTTCAATTGATATTTTATAGTGTGGTTTTCTATGTTGGGATGTTACACTATTGTTTCAGGTAAGGATTAAGGTTGGTACCTTTTAAAACGTTTAAACCCGCTGCCATGGTTTGCACCTATCCTAAGTCAGGAACCTGATGTTCAGTGGTTGTCGTTTACTGATGTAGTTCATAAGTGTTTCTCGTTTCTTGTTTTTTTATATAGATAAAACATTTGGTTTTCCTGTTTGAATGGTTTTACACTATTCATTTTTGGGGCCCTTTATAACTTGCTGTTCGATGTGAGCCAAGGCTCCGTGTTGAAGACCGTACTTTGACCTATAATGGTTCACTTTTACAAATTACGACTTGGATGGAGAGTTGTCTCATTGGCACTCATACCACATCTTCTTATATCTCTTATAAGAAATCCTCCATGATGTATCATCATGCCGTAGATATAGCCATGATCATCATTTTGATACCTTTAATATTCATGGTGTTTCAATGAGTTTCCTTCCTTCGTTTATGCTATAGATTTAGTAACATGATCGGACATAACTATTAACCTTCAACTTTTAAACTGATCATGGTATCCTTGTATATAAATGTTTTGAAACATCATTTTGATTTACACAAATAACACTTTTATGCTAGTATCTTGGATACTGCGAAACACTCATCTTCCCAACGATTTGGAAATAAGAAATATTAACCGATATATATTTCTTTCTTAAACTTTCTCTTTGTCAACAAAGGTCTTGGAAATAAGAAATATACACTGATATATATTTCTTTCTTAAGCTTTCTCTGTGGCAATAAAGGTTTTGACAATACATTAGAAAGATTGCAGGAATTTACAAAAATGTTAGATAGCAAAGTACAATACAACAAACAACAATTCCGACACCTTCGAAAACATTCGATTACCTTAAACCAAAGTATTAAAATTTGCCCTTTTTTGTTTTTACTTTTGAAATCATATTAAGGTTGTCAAATGACAAACATATTCAAAGCATTAGACGATCTGATTACCTGTACAGTGCGGTAGTCGACCATACGGGTTATTATTTGTCTGAAAATCCCAGTAGTAGTATGTTTCATTTCCGCACACATATTCTTCTTTGACATCGTGGTCAAAGTCGAATCCTTCGTCGCAGCTTAGTACACATGTAATTGTATTGCTGTTGTTTACACAGGACAAGGAAGAGTTGCTTGGTTCAACTAACTCTGTACATTCTAAAAATAAGATAGTGAGCAAATTATTTTATCATATAGCATATATATGTTCATGAGATCAGGACATAATAATTTAAATAATTAGGAATGGCATTAGTTTCATTATTTTATTTTACTTTTTATTGCTGTAGGTAATTTATATCCTTGACTCTTGTCAACTGGTGCTACATTTTATGAATATTTTATTTCAAATCTAATGTAATCAGGTTAACAATAATGAATGATTTGTGCTAAGATCATTTATAACAATTAACTGACAATATTGAACCAACAATACGCATTCAATACGGTTTTATCTTTAGCATTTCAAGGTCAAAAGAACTGGCAGTACCTCGACAAGATTCTAAGCTGCATATTTCGATTTCTGTATCTGATCCTTCACACAGTTTTCCTCCATTATCTGGAAGGGGATCTGCGCATGCCCGCCAACGTTGGATTGTACCATTACCACAGCTAACAGAACATTCTGTCCAATTATCCCAGTCAGACCAACTGCCGTCAACTTAAACAAGGAATTTATCATTACATACAATTTTATCAAGAAGTTTGCTCAAAATGAAGATATTCCTCTTATAAAAAATATGCTTCCAAAGCACTCGTTTGTTATATACCTTCATCAGGAACGCTCGAATCCAAATATTTCGAAGCAAACAATCCTGGATGAGCTGTATGACCATAACGATACCTTCATAAGATTTTCAAACATTGATTAACACATGAATCCTCAAAAGCCTAATGATAAAAGACCATAAATTCGATGAACAAATATGTGATAAAATTAAGTATAGACATAATAGTTTTGTTTAAACTTATTCCATATTTTTAATTATGATATTGTCAGTATTACATATTTCCCTATTAACCACCTCCTATTTTTTATGAATGGAATAAATTGACCTGGAATCTAGTGATGTCTTCGAAAAGAACCTACCCATTGTAATTTCACATAACTCTCCTGTATATCCATAGTCACATGAGCACGCATAATTATTCACTTCATCTATGCAGGTTGCATTATTCTGGCAGACATGTACAGCACAATCATTAATATTTGTATCACAGTTAGTGCCCGTAAAACCAACATCACAAGCGCAAGTGTATCCCAAAAGTTTGTCAGTACAGCTTCCATTTACACAAGGATTTATTTGGCAATTATCATAATCTATAAAACAATAACCACATGTTTCACCGAGTTCGATTAAAGATGTCAAAGTGATATTAAGTAAGCGATTATCGTTTTAACAAATATTACATATACCTATTAAAGAATGCAAATGCGTCTATCTAAAAAAATGTAAGCCATTATGCCTGAGATCTTTAGGTTATTATGCAAATCATAAACATAAGCAATTAAGGTTCTAAGTTAGAAAGGTAAAAAAATCACAAGCACTTCTCTGCACAACTTTGTTTTAGTTGTTCTTAAATGAGATTTGTATTTTATTTTGTCTCTTTCTAAATAGTTCCTTTTTTTAAATATGGTGTCCAAATTATAGATGAATCTTCAAGAGGAGCTAAGTTATATAACCATTGCCAATGAAAAAAATAAAAAATAAATATATACTTGCCATCACATTTGGATGGAATATTTATGTATGCATTCATCAGATTGCTATAAACAAACTCATTCCAGTTGACGAATCCCGAAGACAAACCTTCACTTTTACATTTCGAATACAAATGTTCATTATTCATATACGCTTGCTGGGAAACTATGCTAAACTGTGAAATAGCTCCAATGAAGTTATCTCCTGTAAGAATAAGATCATGAGTGTAATTCTCCTTGAATATCACTTTTTTAAATTGAAAGTCTTTCCAATGTAAAGGGATAACAGTAGTTGACAATGTAAGCCATGCAATTTAGCTTTGAAATCTATATAATCTTTCCAAACGAGAGGCAAAAGATGTCAAAATGGACATAAACGAAAATAAACTGACAAAGCCATGGCTAAAAAAGAAAAAGACCAACAGACAAACACCAGTAAAGAAAACACAACATTCACAGCTCAAACGATTGAGCAACACATGCCCCACCAAACACTGGGGTGATACAATGTGTTTTGAAAGGGTAAGCAGATACTGCTCCACATGTGGCACCCGTCGTGTTGTTCATGTAGGCATATAATCCAATAGCGTAAATAAACGCCAATTTAATAATAAGAAGAAGAAGTATGGTTTCCACTGCGACAACTATCTACAAGTTATCAAATTTCGTAGATATAAAAAAATAACTTAAGCTTAACCTTAGGGCTTAAAAAAACTAAGAAACTTTATCGTATAGCAAGTTAAAACAAGACCCTTCCTTACAAGACCAAATTTAGGACAATTTATAAATTAGAAAACTAACAGCCCGATTAATAAAAAATGAATATGGTACACAAGCATTTAAACACTATAATGCCTTTGGAGGTAAACCTACATTGTGACACTCATTTAATAGCATTATATATTTAAAATGTTATTTTGTTCTATACTTTGTTTCAGGCCAGATCTTTATTAACGAACTTACAATGTCGTTTGCAAAGAATTGGCGAGGAAAAACACTATGTACTTACGGTCATGAATTTCAAATGATATGACATAAGAAAATGTGTTATGATAGCAAATGAGACAATTTTTCAACAGACTCTAAATCACGTGGATTCAAATAAAATTGTTGTGTTTTATTAACCCAGATTCCTATCTGTTTAAGTGTTGAATCATAGCTAATATTGCAAAATCATTTCTTTTAACAGCAAGACAATTTTTGATTTCACTGTAATATTTTTTTTACAATTAAAGAATTCAGTCAAAACAATATCTTTTCAATTATATCTTTTGCATAACTGTATACATACGTGTTGGTTCCAAAAATACAAAGTTGTGTACAATATTTAATAAAAGTCAACTGATGATCTAGGTAGTTTTATAAGGACAACTAAAGGCTTATTAAACATATCTTTTTTTACATCTGCCTATAATATTGAACCTACCTCCTAAAGTTATATTTAAGTCAAGATCTTGAGTAAAATTAACGTTGTTTTCATATATTTTATGCAGTTCTCCATCAACAAATAATGAACTATCATTTGTGTTAATATGTAATGTAATGTGAAACCATTTCTTTGACAAATCAAGACCATCAAAAGCATCAGATGAGTTTCTGTCAAAATAAAAAAAAAATTGTTATAGATAATGCATATTTTAAGGTTTTTCTTGAAGTAAAACACCCCGACGAGGTGTGCTATACGACAAGAAAAACCTTAAAATATGCATTATCTGACTTATATACCGTCAACAAATATTATTTTCTGCAAAAATTTACAGTATTTCCATCCTATTTTACCGACGACACTAAAGTGGGATATTCTTTGCTGGTGTGTTCAGGGATTAATACGCCCTACGGCTCATTTATAATGTGTAATAAAACTCACTTATTAATCTAGATATATAAACGTTAGAAATCATTGTCCAGTTTCAATAGAAATATTGCTGTAACTGCATGAAGCAAGACACAAATGAATTGTTACGGTGTATGAAAAATACAAGTCACTTTGTAAGTAATTTATTGTATCAACCTTGTTCATGAAAGAGGGATGCTATTTTTTTTTTGTTTATTTTCATGACATTTTTATCGCAGAAAAGCAGATTATTTTTTCAACAAAGTTTGAAAAGAACAATTCAGTCAGAATAATTGTTTTCTCTCTTTTGTCTGGTAGTGCCACTTTTTTTTTTTTTTTTATAAAACTCAAGAATCAGGATTAAATATTTTATCCCCTCCCTATTTTAAAGTACGTGGGTGTGATTCTATAGAAAATAAGAACATTTGTCCATTTGATCATTAGATAGAGTAAAAGGTATATAAAGATGTAAAAAAAAGAACTGGCATGAAGAGAGCACGAAATCATGATGCATGTACATGTAACACGAAAAACGAATATCTATATAGGTCAAAGTATATTTTCTTATATAATGTGAATAAATAAGATTTTCACAATCCTACACACGAATGTGTTAAATCTGGCTTTTTTATGAAAAGTTTTGCATTATTAAATTCATCTCACATAGTATCCCTTTATTGTAGACATAAATTAACTAAACTTCACATTATTTGTTTTGAAAGTTAAAATGTGCGTCAACGGCAATTATTGGTATTTCAGTCCAATAAACGGAGGAGAGGATGTTGCTGTCTTAATCCTGTTGAACCCTCAATTGGCAACAACACACGATAGCGATCAAACGAATTAAATGTTTAAGTAAATAAAAGTTTGTATTTTAAACAAGACCTTATACAGGTCATTATTTTATGCCTTGAAGAAAATTTCATAGAAACTTGGTATCGTCCGGGTTGATTCTTCGAAAAAATGACCTGTCGTTCTGAAAGAAAATAACTCCATGTAGGTTTATAAACAAATATAATAATATAAATATGTGAATCAAGTGAAAATGGATAATTTCCCTCCAGTTATTTTATTAACGTAAACCCTTACCGACGAAAGTGAATCATTTCTGGCTTTGTTTACTTTTCGATTTTACGTGAAGATGCAATAAAGAATATGGTTCCCTTCACTGGCACATCATATCATTTCCGGTTTTGCTGCATAGCTTACAGTTTTAGGTTTTGTGATCAATATTCGTAAGCGTATTTATTGATAAGTAAAGCTGTCTAGATTCATTTAACAAAAGAGTTCTCTACTTCAAAATATCAAATTAAAATAAGTTTTGTAAAAAAACAACACTGGAATGCAAGAATCATACATACGTGTTAATAGTTAACAAATCAGACGTCAACTCAATGTGGTCAGATGCAGAAGAATCTACGGCGAAAAAAGTTCCTCTGCATGAAGTTTGACAGTGTATATGAAAAGTCATCACAAATGGTGTTTGAAGTGGAATATCACTTATTTGCAACTCTGTGTAAGCAGGTTCTGTGCTGTTTGGGAAAACAACATCGTAATCTGAAAAACATCATTTAACATGATCCATAACAAATCAATTGGTATAACAAACTTTTTTTAGCATTTTAATACAGTATATGCTCCTATAAACGAAAATCTCATGTTCAATGATTATTTTTTACTTTTATGCTTTGAATAAAATTAGGATACAGAAACCTAGACTTACATCAACTTCGACATGTTCGTTGAATAAGTAAATTTGAAAGTCATCGATTTAAGTTAAGATCAATAAATCTAATTATATTAAAACAACTTAAATTTGTATTCATTTTTACTTGTTATACTAGTATCAAAATGTGGGTTGAATTTGTAACGTAACGACTAATCAAGTAGATATTTGGAATCAACATTTGGAATAGTTTCAATATTAAATATACACCCTCAATTCCGATATCTTACCAACACAAAAAGATACATTGTCACTTTTTTCCATCAATGTAATGCGATTTCCTGGACATTGTTTACAGACTGTTGAACCATAGTTGCTCTCGTAATAACCAACATCGCATTCTACACATGGTGGGATACCGGTCAAAGACCAGGTACCAGGTTCACAAGCATCTGCAATACAATTAACGCAGTTAATTTGTGCTGTAACAACCCTATTTATCTACTTATTACTTTAAACTATGCAAATGTATATGAGTGAATTAGTTTCTGATTATCTAATTTAAATTAAATTAAACAATCAATGCAAAAAATATTTCAAGTCATTGGCTAATATTTTTCTCCTTCATAACCGACTTCGAATCATCATCATTTTCTAAAATTCTGTGTAGAAGCATGTAAAAATTGATTTAGAAGTTCAGCTAAATTTCATACGTGTCAGCCTAATAGAAAAGAAAGGATATATTGTATCTATTCATGACACAAAATCGGTATGTGCACAGCAAAAAAACAAAACAAAACAAAACAAAAAACAAGGGCCATTATTGCTGTTCTTCATCTCAAAACATAAGGGAGGCCTTCAACACGTTGAAAACAAAAATGTTATTATTTACTGTCGAGAAATGGGAAGTGGACAATTGGAAAGTTAAAATCATTAGATTTGTCATAGATTTGTTTAAAAAAGTCAACATCAAGTAAAAATCAAAGCATAAAGCAGACCTTTTAGATTTGGTTGCAGGGACAAATAAATATAAATGAGATGCAATCACTCAATGAAATGTAGGTTATTGGGTAAAAGGATATCATCAATATATATAAAAGTGAAATTAACGAAGTTCGAAAAAAGGCTTTTTGTTTTTTGTGTTTGAGAAAGCACCATCGGCTTCATATGAGTATACAAATGATTCGGCCAGTAGGTTGCCCCTTTTCTAACCACTAGACTTCAGACTGACTTTCAATCAATACATCAATCCACACAACAGACAACAGACAAAACTAGTCAATATGACAGACTTTCGATCAATTTTTTGGACTGCATCTAGACAACTTAAACTAAAATCTGTCTTAAACTTACCCTCACAATTTATCAGTTAAAACAAAATAAATTGAGAATGGCAATAAAAGTACCTTCACATTCTGATACACCTATAGCACCAACTCTGGCTGTTGTCTGAGTATACGGACATGGAATGCAGTCATCTTGAGCAAAATTTGGTTGGTATGAACCTCTGAAACATGTACTACAGGTTTTTGAACTGCCGTCATAAAACGTACCTGCTGGACACGGCACTAATAAAATATAATTACATTACATGTATGTTTCATTATAATACGTTATTTTGATTGGCTAACAGCAAGCTCGTGTCATTCTAAAATTAACCTTCATTTCCAAATGAAATGTAACATTTTATTGATATTAAAGAAATTTCTTGGTATTCCTAAACGGAAGATTTTATACACACAGTAGAAGAAGTATACTTAACAACAAAATTATTTTCATTTACCTGTGTATAATATGACGCAGGTTTCTTCAAAGGTGATGATTTTCTAAAAATTGTTTGAAATTTCAGAGTGATATCATACTTTAACTTTGTTTAAACCTGTTTATTTACTTTTGACTTTAATTATTTATCCCTTGTATTTTTTTATTCACTGTGTATTTGCATTCAGGTGTCACAGGTCAAATTTATTCGTTCATTGTGTGTTGATTTACGTTTTTTTGATTGAGTTAAGCCTTCCAATTGATATTTTATGGTGTCTTTTTCTATGTTGTGATGTTATACTATTGTTTAAGAAAAGGGAGAAGGTTTGGTACCATTAAAACGTTTAATCCCGCTGCAAATGTTTACACCTGTCCTAAGTCAGGAATCTGATTACAGTAGTTGTCGTCTGTTTATGTAGTTCATACGTGTTTCTCGTTTCTCGTTTTTACATAGATTAGAACGTTGGTTTTTCCTTTTGAATGGTTATACACTAGTAATTATTTTGGGGCCCTTTATAGCTTGCTGTTCGGTGTGAGCCAATGCTCCGTGTTGAAGACCTTGACCTATAATGGTTTACTTTTATAAATTGTAACTTGGATGGAGAGTTGTCTCATTGGCACTCATACCACATCTTCCTATATCTATGGTGACACGAGCTTTCACAATACAGTGCACAGATAAATAAAATAAAAACTTGATAGAAATCGTGTTTTCATGATCCTATCGAAAAAATGTAATCATAAGTATTGAATGCTTCTTTTAATAATTTTATAGGGTTGTAAAAGTGTTGACCGTGCGTACATTTTTAGAATGAAGCGTTTTCGCGCTTCATACAAAATGTACTTCGGTCAACGGTTTTACACCCCAATAAATTTACAAAAAGAAGCATTCAATTCTTAAATAAAAGGATAATGTTTAAAAGGCAAAATAGGGGAAACAACTTCATGTCTATAAAAAAACTCGATAAATGTAATTATATTATCTCTTTCAGAACAGGTTAGACGGCGTAATTTATCTGTTCGTTCATCTCAAGCCCTAAGTTGTTTTATGGTTACTTATTGGTTTTATTTTACAAGCGGTTTCGGAAATATTGAAAAGCATACAAGGGATTTATGTCCTACTAACGATTATTCTTAAACTTTAAAACATTTCAAGTTTAAAAAAAATATAGGATCAATTGCATTATAAAATTGTCAAGATATGTTGTTTTTTTCAACAATTCTAATAATCTTGTAAAGTTACACATAAAGTTCAAATACTTTTGACAGGGATATATTGACTTAATTCACAGAAATTAGTTTCCAACACATGCAGATACCGAACAAGAAATGTAA